TATAAATATTTAATTTTTATACAAAATTAAATTTATTATTATAAATTTATAATTTAAATATTATTATTATTTAAATATTATTTATTTATTTCTTTGCATAGAATTAAATTTAATATATTATAAATTATATTTCTATTTTATTGTTTTTGAAAACGTAAACTTTTAAGAATTTAAAAAAAAATAATTTCTTTGCAAAATTATACTTTATCTTTTTAGGTTTATATTTCTTTTTTAACATGCGAAACTTGCATCGATAACCGGAAATAGTCTTGCGTGTAAAAAACCATTTTAAATGTAGGTACAATATATATATATATATATATATATATATATATAGTTCTAGAGAAAAAATTATTCAAATTAATGATCGAGAAAAGAAGTTCAGTGATCCTTAGCAAAAAAGTCATTCATGTGATAAGCAGACGTGCTTTGTTATGATTGAATCACAGAAGCGCATCCTGTAATTATTCTTAAAATTATGGTCTTATTTTATTTTTTAAATTTTAAATTATTTCATTTTAACCAAAAATTCGTTAATTAATAATAAATAATTTATAATTTTATTCAAATAAAAAATTTTCAATTAAAATACAAAAATAATTTCATTTGAATTTAAAAAATCAAAAAAAAATAGTATGTTGAATCAAAAAAATTCATTTACTTGTTATTTGATTCAATATTTTTTTGATTTAAGAAAAAAAATTTTTTAATTAAATTTTATTGAATTAAGAAAATTAGTGAATCAAATACAGATAAGTAAATAATTTTCTATGATATTTTTTTTTTATTCGATTCGGTTTTAAAGACTATTTCCAGCTTCTCTTGGCAAGATCCCATCATTTCAGGATTTTTTTTTTTTCTTTCATAGTTTAGACATCTTCATCACACAGATTCTAATTGCAAATAGACTTTCCTTAAAGGTCAAATTTTTCATTTTCATTAGAAAATAAGAAGAAAAAAGAAGTACCAAAATATGTTTTTCCCTGCACTAATTGTAAAAAAAAAAAAATATCTCCATAGAGAAATAAAATACAAATTCTTCAAGGTAGTTGTCCACCTTCTTCTCGCCACATTTAAAATCAAGTTTCAGTCTGGACTTTATGTCATAAGTCTGACAGTCTGGAGCACAAACATGCATGCACCATTTGCGTGAAAGCAATTCAATATATTTTACACATTTTCACCTACGACAGGAACTTGTGTGGGAGTCTACCAGGTGCGATTTTTGCTCCCAAGAAGAAGGTCTCGATTTTTTCTTTCCTCAGGAATTTACCATAGAATCTTTTCTATATAAATATATATATATATATATTGGTATATAAAGGCCATGAAATAATGTTTTTTATTTATTTTAATTTAAGAGACCAAATAAAATTCTGCAATTTATTCACATGGGGGGAAATGCAGGAAGTCGCGAGCTAGACAAAAATAATATATATATAATAACCATATAATTGCATCAAATTATTTGCTACCTACTTTATGGAAATACAATTTATAGAATGTGTTCTATAACAGAATGATACGTTTACGCATGAATTTGCATATACTACATGCAATATTATTTCAAAAAAAAAATATCACTGTAGAAAAATGAAACTAACACTTCCTCGCAATATTTCTTGTTTTTTTTTCTTTCAAAAATTAATCTTCTAACGCTTTATGAAGAAAGTAATATTAAATGCAAAATTGTCGTTACTTCCCCTTCAATTTATTTGCTTCAATTGAATAATATATATATGTGTCCTGATTTAGACGACCTATTTGAATATTTTTGAGTAGAAAAAACTATACATCAGTAAAAATGAATTTTAACAGAGAAATTTTCCAAAGAAGAAAATATTAAAATGAAATAATTTCTATAAAGGAAAAGAAAGAAAAAATTCTTCATTGTTATTGAAAATAAAGGCACAATCATAAGTTGATACGATTAAAGTAAAAACGAAAAATTTTAATTAGACATGATCGAATGTTCATTCTATATAACAACGCAGGTCAAAGGTTTTATATAAGGCCGATGTTCTGAAGGACGAGATATAAAATATGTCACGAAATTTTGTTATTATTTTTTGAAATTTCAAAAAGAAGATTATTTTTCATAAAATTGATTAGAAAAAAAAAACAGCAGTTTTATCAATTATTTAAATATTAGTTAGACAATTAAATTAACTAATTAAATAACTTGGTAATAAATTAATAGAAATTTAAACCGTAAATAAATTTTTAAAAATAATATATTAAAAACAAGAACAATGTATTCTAATTTGATAAAGGTCTTAAAACGTTACGAAACGTTTTATTATTAGGTCGCTTATTCGCCTACACTTTTATGCTTCAACTGCGTTCTGCGCAAACATTTGGCAAAATTGAAGCCTTCAAATTTTTCCCCGGCGAAAAAAATTATAATTTTTAAATATAGAAACATTGTTTACTAAATTTTTCAACGGCTTATTTTTTTTATTATAAAATTTGTACAAATGAAAACAGAATTTATTTTATTCAAATAATCGACTATTATGAAATAATCATTATTATTATTTGGTATTTGTTTCTAATACAGAAATTATTGGTTCAATATACAGTTTATTTAATTAAGTTATTTTCAAAAATTATTTGGTTTAAGTAAATATTTAATAATAGCCAAGTAACCGATTATTTGAATTAAATAAATTTTATTTTCAGTGTGTCTAATAAAAAAAAAATATTTTCGATGAATGAAAAGAAAAAGAAAAATTTGAATGCTATTAAAACATAAAGCACACGATGTATATTATAAATCAATAAAGTTTTGCTAAAGAAGATATCTTTTGCTTTCTCTTTTATCAAAACAGGACATTTATTTAAGGTTGGAGTATCCCCTATCTGACGTGAAAATAAACGTCTCAAAATGCTCACAATTCTTCGCTATATCCTAAGGTACAAGCCTTGATGTTTGCTTAATCAACTTTTTTTTTTTTTTTTTTTAAAAAAAAGAAAGAAGAAAATAAACATAAACTAAAGATAAGATTAATTCATGATATATGGATATTTTTATTTATTATTTAATACGAAAAAAAAATTGTAACACCAATTTGGCAAATTTTGTTTCGCTAAACAAAAAAAAAATTGAAAGTGAAAAAATATTCAAATAATAGTTTTTTTATATAGAAATTGTTTATTTAATCAAATAATTTTACTATAGATAATATCCAATAACAATAGCTTGATATCATTCTTCACTTTTGTGACAATCTAATTATATATAAATATAGGAAATTATCTTTATTGCTCGATGCAACACGTTCTCTACATGTGATAACTTAGGTTTTATATATATATTTCAGTGGACAAGGCTTTGTACCTCGGGATTAAAGTTTTCTCATAAAATTGTTTTCTATATTTTCAAAAAATTATCAATTAAAAAGTTAATTAATTCAACTAGAAAAGAAGTTAAAAAATTCCTTTAAAAATAATTTTCTTTATCCAAATTAATAATTTCTATTGTTCCCAGTAAATTTCACTATTATTTTCATAATAAATTATTTAAATGCTGCGAAAATATTTAGCGAGATTATAATTCACAATTATTAGCAATATTTACAGTTTAAATTAATATCAATTTTATTATATAAAATTCATATTTTCAAGATCAAGTCCATATATATGCGAAAATATTGAGACATATATACTATTTATTCATAATATTTATACAATAATCAGTTGTGTTATTTGATAATAAAGTATATTGCGAATGACTTTCTAGATTTCAGATCAGCGTCTTTTTTTGTTTCGCATAAAAAAAAAAGAATAAAGAAAAAAAGAAAAAAAAAGATGATCTCTTTTGTCAGTTTGATAATAAAGTGCAACAGATTATCTTCAATTTCGCAATTTGATTTGATTTAACAATATAAATACGAAAAGTTATAAATATTTATGATTTCGTTTAGCGCACATTTTCTTTTTATAGATATTTTGAGTACTTTTGCAAATAAATGTGACAATAATAAATTTTTATTTATCGAGAAAAAATTTTTTTTGTAATAAATTTAAAATTCAAAAAAATATTAATAATACAGTTATTAACCGGTATTTGAAATTTGAAAAAAGATTATAATCTGAATTGAAATCAATAAAGTGTTATAAGAGAGACAGTTTATTAAAGCAAACCTTGAGATATGTATCAAGGTACTTGCTATTTAAAAGAGAAGTAGATTATAAAATTGTTATTGTCACTCTTCCTAAAGTTGCAACGTGTGTGTCTTATCAGTGTTCTCCTTCCTTTTTTTTTATTCTCGCGTCTCTGTCATACTCGTTTAACTTTCTTCATGTCTGAAAAAGATATGAAACGCCTACTCAAGCTTCGTAATTCTATAACTGTACCGACCTACGCCAACTTTAACCTAGACGAAGAAGTAAACCTTTACGACCAGTTTTTTGAAGAAAAAAAAAAGAAAATAAATGTCTAGTTAAAAATACCACCTCGCAGACGGCTAATGTCTCGCCTTCTATATATATATATATATTTCCAAATGATTTAATTTAGAGGTTCAATTTTCATTCGAGAATATATATTATTTTCTCAATTAAAAATCAAAATATGCTAACTGTATTAATTCGAATTAACTGTTAAGAATTAAATTAAACTAAATTGTAATTAATTAATAAATATATTATTAATATCAATTAATATTAATAAATAATAATATTATTAATTAATAATTATTCAAAATAAATTTTTTGTTGAAATAAAAAAGGGATCTTTTGATTCAAAGAAAATTTCTTTGATTTAAATAAATTTCTTTCGAATCCAAGAAATTTGTTCATTAAATCAAAGAAATTCCAGCATTGATTCAAAGTAATATTTTTTTAATTTAAGAATTAATTTTTTCTTTGAAACAAAGGTACTTTTTTTGAAATAATTTTTTTTTTCAAATTTTTCTTTGAATCAAAGAAAAATTAACTTTAAATCAAAGAAATGAGTCAAAGAAAATGATTTTTTTTAAATCAAGAAAAATTTTTTTCCGGGTGAATTGAGTTGAGTCTACCAATGGTTACGAAAAGAAGTTTCGAAAATTCAAAATGGCGGATCCAAAATGTCGGACAATTAAAGAATTTGATTCATTCTCTCGAGGGGGTTTTTGAGGTCGTTGATTACAAATATTATGAAGTCAAGTTTGAAAAATCCGAAAAAATTTCCAAAAATACAAATTTTCAATTTTATGCAGTTATGTGAGCATTGCATATTCTGAATATTTTCCAACCTACAAAAGCATGTAACAGTAAAATATTTTTCTCCTCCGGTGGTACTTGGAGCAAAAATTATTTTTTTTTTTTTTCAAACTCCACATGGACATAAATGGTCCAGACCAATCTACAACTCGAAGTACATCCTGAAATCTTTGTCCATGCTTTAGCGCTTGGAGAGTCTCGTTAATCTTTTTGACTGATGTTTCGATCCTTCTTATTGAAGAAAGATCGAAAATGTTATATATATATATATATATATATATAGGTAAAACGAAGTAAGCTTATCTTGTCTGAGCAGTCTATACTGTAGAGTTTCTGGCTTTACTGCAGTTGCCATGCTACAGAGTAGGGATCTCAAGACATCTAACTACAATATGAACCAGTCGGAATTCAGTGTGTGTAAGCCGGCCGGTCTCGATGGGTCGTTCTGACCAACTCTATCATTATCCAAAAAAATGTTTATTTTTGTAAAAAAAAATTTTTTTTTTTCTCAAACGTGCAATTTTCTTCCTTGTAAAAATTCACAAAATTTAATATTTAATATCAGTATTTGCACATAAGAAATTTTTCATTAGAGTATCAAAAAAAAAAAAAAAAATTGCACAAAATGCAAATAATTCGCAAAAAAATACAATACCATTGAAATGTAAAAATTGCAAGACGGAAAAAAAACAAACTTTTAAATGCAACAAAATAATTAAAAAAATTAAGGTTATTTAAAAGAAATATTTTTTTTAATTATTAATAATAGTGTTTCGTGAAAATCAATACAATAAGTGTCAACGAACTGTGTATTTTTAAATCCACAAATAAGAGAAGCATATAATAGAAAATAGAACTGATATTCTCGTTCAAATTTTTGTGATACCTTATATATATATATTTAAACATGTCACAGCGAGGAGAAATAGAATTTTTTCTATTTTTAATACTATTTTCGGAGCACAGTGAGATTTCTCGAATGAAAAAACAAGCAATTGAGGAGTGATTTTGCAACTTTGTTTTTTTTTCAACAGTGAAACTCAACAGACAACTTCTTTTTTCCAAAGATATATAAATGGATGATTGGGGTTGAAAGTGATTAATAAAAGATTTAACAAAAGAGAATTTTATCCCACAGGGTAAAAAAAAGAAGATAAATAAAAAAAAAAAACTTGAAATAATTGGAAAAAAAAGAATAATTCACTGAAAAATGACACAAACGGAGGAAGTTTCAATGACCTTTGAGTCCAAGGCACCGGCTAAGCAAATGAATGGGGTAAATTTTACTTTTATTTACTCGTAAATTGAAGAAAAATTTTACCTAAATTTTCAGAAAAAAATAACGAAAACATAAAATAAAAACTAATTTAAAATTTTTTTTTGTGAAAAATCAAGATAAAATTAGCAATGAAAATAGTATAACCGTTTGAAATAAAGAACGGTGGATTTTACGAGTCTTGTTTATAAGAGGAATGAAATTTAAATTTTTTTAAAAGGACCGCCTGATTGTCAATTTAAATAGAGTGCCGGAGACATCGGGACTTGCATTCCAATAGATTCCGGTTTTTGATGTTGCTTGCACAACTTTCTAGCGTTATAACCGTTTTTTTTTTATTCTTATAGCTGTGCATAATTAAAAAAAAAAGATGTTTAAATATATAAAATAATGACAAATGTGTCTTATTTTATTTATACAATTTGCGAATCACGCGATGTTCACGTGTCATTCCAGACAGTTCGACAACGAGACTGGTATAGACATTATCTCCATTATTTTCCTTCCTATTAAGTATATATATAAACGATTTACGCATTACATTCAAAGAAGATTGATCTATTTTTTAAAAGACGATCTTTTAATATTCTACGCTTTTTTTTATTTACTTGTTTTGAAATAATTTACTTTTTGAAATAATTACAAAACATGTCAATTAATTAAATGAATTAATAAGAAATTTCCTCCTATTTTTTCACGAGAAGTTTTTTTAATTGAGAACTTGTATTTAAAAATAGTTGACATTTATTTTATTTATTAATAATTATTGAAAGAAAAAAAAAAAATATCGACAAATTTTCTGTAAATTCTCGCTGAATATATAGAAAATTTATTTTTATTGCTGATAATGCACTAGCTGTTTTGATGAAAACAATTTTCTCGCATTTGAAAAACTTGAATGGAAAAATATAGCTAAAGCTAAAAATAAATTTTTCACTTTATGAACTTTATCATTTGTTCAGATAAAATAACACACAAATGAATCAATATAAATAATGAAAACGATAACAATAAATAAATATCGTTTTAATAAAAAAAAAAAAAAAAAGATTTAATAATTATTTTACGTGTTAATTGTTTATTAGTCAATTTTTCGATTATTTATTTTAATCCTATAAACAAATTGAATTAAATAAAATTGTCAATTATTTAATTCTTTTGTTTATTCTCATAATAAAATGGTCACATTTTTTTGTTAATGTAAATTTAATAATTAATTTTACTAAACAATTTGTTTATTATTTGCAATTTTTTTCAGAAATCAAAAAAAAGTCTTATATATAAAAATGAGTTGAATCAATTTTCGATTTTATAATTTTTGCATTTTTTTTTTTATGATAATATTTGTATATTATGATATTCTCGGGTCATTTCCCTTTAAATCGAGTGTCATAATAAATTATTTGTATCCATTTTTTGATAAAGAAGGTCGTTTTTACGATGATATCCTGGAATACCTTGACACCGAAACTGATCTCAGACATTTGTTAGTATTGATGCTGACTGCGTGTCTCGACTATTTTTACTTTACTAATTAAAAAAAAAAATACAAAAAAAAAATTGATACTCATTCACACATATAGTAGTAATTATTCTAATTTTACGAAATTTTGTTTTTTTTTCGTCAAACGCTAAATATAAAAATATATTTATCTCGTAAAAATAAAATTTGCATTTGATTATAAAAACTCATTTCTATATATAAAACATTTCGTGCACTATATCGTAAAACCAAAATTGCAAAAAATGGAAAAAAAATTTATTCAAATAAACAGAGTAAAAAAAAATAAATTTTTCTTTAAGAATTACGTTCTGATTAAGAAAAAAAAGTAATTTATAAATTAAGAAATTTTTTTTTTACTGAAATACATTACATTTTATGGTGTAAGTATGTTAAGTATTTATTATTATAATATTATCAATAAATAATAATAATAATAATAATTGACAATTTTAAGTAACACGAAATGCATTTATCTCTTCTTTGAGTATATTTCAATGGAAATGTTACTGACTTTTTTTTTTGCTACTAAATTATACCAATATATCGAGATATATATATATATATATTCCTCTCACAGAGTGCAATTAGATTTATTGTCATGTAACAGATGCTGCCAATGACTGGGCTATAACGCAAATATTGATAATTTGTTTCTTCAAGACGATCAGTCGACATTCAAGTACGTTTTATTAATATCCTCATTCGCAGGGAGGAAGCCTTTCGAATATCGGCTCATAATTCAAGAAAACTATATGGACCGATTTTTTTTTCCTTGTAAATAAAATATTTACATTGATTAAATTTTGCAATAAAAAGTACGCAATCTTTTTACAATTAACAGGTACAAGCATGAAGAGATAAATTCTCCAGATTCTTGTCCTTTCAAAAAAAAAGAAAAGAAAAGAAAAAAGGATTATCCTGAAATATATTTCATTCAATATAATACATATTGTATATAAAAAAAAACTTCTGTAAATTATATTCATTATATACAATGTATTATATATTTTATGTAGTTAATTTTTTATCATTAGAGGTTAAATTTTTTTTTTTTCTCTTTTATTAATAAATTAATTCAATGTTAATAATACATTTTTTTTTTATATATCACCTCTATCGAGAATATATTTCTTGCGAATCTTTTGAAAGAAGAAATAATAGATAACCCCGCGCATTGTTCATAACTTTCTGCGCATATCGAATGCGTGCAATGTTCCTTAATCAAAAAATTATTAATTTCACACTAGAAAATAAGTTGTCGTTAATTATATATTTGTTATCGGTAGGATTATAAGAGTAAATTACCCTCAAATCATAATTATATATATTTCGCCAACTTTCAGAAGTTGATAATAATAAATATTTTCTCAATTTTATTTGCACTTTTTTTTGCAAAATCTTTTGTTTAATAAATAAAAAAAAAATTTTCATTTAAAAATCCTTTTAAAAAAAAAAGTTATTTTCGTCCAAAGAATATAATGTATATTTACATTTCATTTCGAAAAGACATGTGCGAATCGTTTTTAATTTAAAAAAAAAATTTCTTATATATCGGTTTTGACATATCTTTCAACAAACATTTATTTTATTTTTCTTCGAGAGTGCCAAATGGTAAAAAACTGTTTTTACACATTATCGAAGCATAAATAAAAAAAAATCAATTAAAAAAAATTAGTTAATTTCATTATAGCTGAGAACTTTTTTTTAATTTTAGTTAAAGATTATTTTTAATTAAATTTAATTTGTCATAATAATGTATAATTAGAATAATTCGATTAGAATAAATAAGTGAGGCAAGAGGTGTCATCTCGCTAACAATATTGATTCATGAAATTTTCCACTCTAATTTTTATTAATTTTCAATAAATAAATCGATGTTTCCGAGTTCGAGTTCAATATGTGACAAAAGCCAGGGAATGGAAATTTTTTTCAATTTAATTGATTAATCTAATTAAATTTATTATTTAATATTGTTTTAAATATTTCACAGGGGGGAAAAAATAATTAATTGTTCGATTATTTTTTTTTTTATACGTTTAGATTAATTCTCTCTTCCCCTTGTCATGTAATTGTCACATATGTAACGAGTGTTCTAATCAAAATACTAATTACAAGACTAATTACTCTTTCAAGGCAAGGGCATGAAGACTAAATATAATACAAACATATTTGTAAAAGACAATACAATTTTTTGTTACTAAAATTAATTTACTATTTTTACAATTCCTTTTTGTTAAATTCTAATATTAATTTCATAATTATAATTAAAAATTTAGTGTAAGTTCGCGTGTTATTTTTATAATGATACATTTTTAAAAAAAATGAAATCATCTTTTAATATTTTATTTTCATATCAATATAAGATACGCGATTATTACATAATTAATTCTATTTTGTAAAGTTTGCTGCACCAAAAGCAGCGAAGAGATAAGACTTCTTGTAAGTGATTATGATATAATTGTTATTTAATTACAGCTTTTGAATTAATAAACCACACATGAGAAAATAGTTAACTTTATTTCTAATTATAAATATTTTTTTTATAATAAAAATTAATATAAAACCGAGTTTAATAAATCATTTTTTTTTTGTATATATCCGATTCGTGCAAATTTCTGCATAAATGCAACATCTATTATTAACCTTTATAGAGTGGTTCAAGGCAAAATTGTATTTAATTAAATAACTACTTCACTATAGAGATTTATAGAAGAAGGAACCTAAATAAAACAATCACAAATTTCTTAATAAAAGAAAACTAATGAAAATTAATTGTCCATTATTATCATAAAGAAGATTGAATAAAATTATTAGCAACTTCCGTGATCAGAATATATTAGAAAAGTCTCTTCTCAATGCGAACAAGGCCTTCAATTGCTTCCTGAGTATAGTAGACTTGATGAATAGTTTCAGATTGATAAGACTAATGACAATATATAGTTTATTATCTCAATAAATAATAAATTTTAAAATTATCGAAAAAATGATATTAAAAATATCGAAAAAATGATATTAAAAATATCGAAAAAAAAGATATTAGAAATATCGTAAAAAATTACATTAAAAATATCGAAAAAAATAATATTATACTCCAAAGAAGATTCGCAATTTTTGGAATCGACAATAATAAAAAAAAAGTCCTATAATGGAGGGAAAAAAACAACAGAAGGAAATTTAAATATTTCACTTCTTTTGTATAAGAGATATTGAAAATACTAATTGATGCATTCAACGCAATGCTTCATTATTAATTCCCAATCATATGGAATGCAATATTATAATCATTTGTTAAGCAAAAAATGACTCATCACGATGAAAATTGCTCTTATTCCCCAACAATGATATTTTAATCGTCTTTGACATGTGGTTTGAAAATATTTTCACTCTCACAACAATTAGATTTTATAATGATATTCATACTCTGAAAAGTTATTTTAAACAAATTCATTTTGATTATCTGGAATAAATTATCATTATCTTTTTTGCAACTCGTCAAATAAATAAATATATATATAAACGTTCATCAAGGTGTATTAAATTATTTGTATATCGAGTATTTATCAAATTTTTATTGTGATAGGCATGCCTATCAGTTCCCTTATGTCTTCAGTTACAGTAACAAAGACTTTCCTGGAATAAAAACTGCAAATTATGAATGCATTTTTTTTTTTATTATTATTTATTTCGAGTTGCAAATGAGAAATTGTAATTTTTTCCAAAAATCCACATTAATAATTTATTCTAATTTCTAACTAATTTTAATTATTTAAAAATTTAATTAATTTTAGTGATTTTTTCGTTATATATACTTTTAGAGATTTGACCTAGTTTATTTTGAAATAAATTTACACATGACTACTAGACAAACGAATGATATATTTTTGCCTAAGCAAATACAAAAATTTGCCAACAAATTTTGTCCACATTGATATTTAAATGTCAACAAGACTCTTTAAGTCATCAAAATTATTGTATACTGCTTGTAAAAAATGATAAAACCAAAAGATAAAAAAATAATCTAAAAAATTAATCATCAGGAAAAGATTTTTAAGTGATTTTAAAAATTAAAGATGCTAAAGAAATAAATGCTATGTAAATAGCAAAAAGAAATCCAAATTGAAAAAAAAAAACGTGAAGATACAAATGAAAAGGTTTTCGAAATGATCTAAAAAAAGTCTCTGGTATTTGCATTTTCAACTTAAATATCAAAGAGCCTCGTTAAAAAAAAAAACGATGTGTACTTTTACTATCTTTTTTTTGTGAGTCTAAATTTATTTCTCTCAATTTCATAAAAACGAAATATTCTGCTATTCTTCAAATTACTTTTTACTTGATGCTTAAATATTAATTTATATTATTAAAATATTTATAAATTGAATTTTATTTTTTTAATAACGCAAGCTTCTCCTGTAACTAAGTAACTTTATTTCATCGTTATTTTTTTGTCAAATAAAAATAAACTGGAGAACATCTTTTTACGTAAATAACAAAAAAGAGAAAATAAATTTTGTTTTAATTAACTCTTTTATTTTTTCTTTTTCCCTATTTAATTCACTTCTTTTTTCTCTATGATGACACTTAGTAAAATTTTATTTTCATTCTTATTTCTTGCCCTTGAAAAATCAGTTATATTTCTAAATATAGTAAATTCAAGAAAGTCTCATTTAAAATTTAAATTAATTCTTTCTCATAATATACGTTATAGAAAATTTGTTCACGTTTCTTGTGAGTGCGATGAGTATAGACAATCTTACAGCGAGTCACACAAAATCTGCACACGCACTTACATAAGTGCGAATAAAAAGCGAATGAGGACAAGCAGAGAAACGAGGTGAAAAAATGTACTGTTCTTGTCTCATTATAACAGATAACCTCATTGCAAGGCCACATGTATTATCAATCATATCAATAATATGTTGATAGTATTATGTTATGTCTCGATTTTGTTCAGATAATAATAATATTTTTTTTGAATTATTTTCGAATTTTTACTCATCGAGGCTTCGAGTTATCGAAATTTGACTCTAATCGAGAATTTTTTTACAAGAAAAATGCCTAAGATTTTTGGGAACAAGAAATTTTCAAGATGTTTTTTTTTTAAAATATACTAACAACTAACAATAGAAAACATTTATCAAACAAATAAAAATGTTTGTTAAAGTACATAAAAATTCTATTTTTAAAACAGCTTATCCTTGCATATTTTATTGAAATATTTCAAAGAAATATATGACATTAGAAAAAAAATAAATACCAGTATTAATGAAATATAATATGGCATCGTTTTTTTTTTCAAAAGAGTGACTAAGGTCAGGATGTTTAAAAATTTGCAAACTAAGAGTAACGGTGAACGGACGTCCCAAAATAGATAGCCAGATCGCGTTATGTGTGATAAAAATAAAACAGCTGGAAGACCAAGTGAATCTTTTTACGTATAGCGGACAATGTCAGCTAAACTATTTTGAGATTTTCATAATCACACATGAACAACCATCAACTACAGATAAACTAGAAATGCTATTTACTAAATATTTATTTTCATTTTTCCGTAAAAAAAAAAAATTAAATTAATCTTTAATTTGGTATTTATGATGAAAATAAATTTAAAAAATTAATAATTATTTTAAAATTGTTAATTTAATTTTACATTAGAATTCAGATCGGAATAATATGAGCTTCTATAAATAATTATGAGTTTCTATATAAACCTATAAATCAAGAAAGATGATTCAATTTTCTTCTCAATTAAATTCCGATGTCGTGTAAATTACTTTTATCAAAGTTATCTATCTTTTGACTGCCTGTAAAATTGTAATACATTTATATGTACATGTACATGTACGATTTATACTGATTTCAGTGTATTTCACAAATACTCGTTTATGAGTCTATCGTGAGTCTAGTCGTTCGCACAGACATATAATAGATAATCGTTACGTAAGCCCGAGGTTTTACACTTGAGGCAAATGTCCTTTTACGTGACACATGAAGCCGTGGATTTACAATATATAATCTTTATCAATCCTCCCTACTTGAATTTCATTCCCACATATACAAGTAAAAAAAATACTATACTCTCCAACCACTACCTTTTTTTTTTATTATTGTCCCATCCTTTTTTTTCTATTTTTATCATATCTTTGGTATAAAAAAAGAGATTAAGAAATATAATACTATATATCCTTATATAGGTGTCAATTTTTTTTAAGGAAAAGTAGAAAATACCACAAATATCCGATTAGAAAAGAAGATTAATTAATTTATCTATATAAAAATAAAATATTATCAATTCTACTTAATTTCATTTATCTTATTGAAACTTGAAATCCGTTTCTTTATTCAATGGGGCTTTCGGTCAAATAAAATTTCGACGTTTTAAAAATTCGGTATCTAAAAATTCTGTTAAGTAAAAATTCGTTTTAAGAAAAAAAAAAAAAATTAATTTTACAAGAATGTAACTGAATTTTTTCATTTTTAGGCGGACACTGGAAGGCGAGATCAGGAGGAATTATCGCCGACCTCGACTTCGCCGTCGGGTCGGAACGAGACAAGTGGTGGGTCGGTCCTGGCGATGGGCAGTGCCGACTCAGCCGGAGATACCCACGACGGTGGACCTTCCTGTGGTTTGGTGAGCTCACTATTCCCCAGCAGCTGTCGAGGCAGAGCTGAAGCATTCGCCAGAAGTCTTCACCGACGACTGACTTCCCTAGGTGGAGAGAATGGCAGCAATGATGATGATTTTGATTTATCAAAACCAAATGAAACATCATGGCTACACTCGACAACCATCAAAAATGGAACTAATTCTTCCTCGAATAACATGAATCATGTACTTGATCATCAACCACGTCACAGTCCAGAATCTGATCTCTTTTACGATCTTGAAGGTGAACTCGAAGAAAATGGAACTGGCTCACCTGCAGAAGAAGCATCTGCAGCAGAACTAGCACATCTTCTTGTCAATCATCAATCTCTAAAAATCAATAATCGTTTTCCTCCTAATGGGACAAAACTTCCTGGTACCAGTCAGGATTCCGGTTCATTACCCAGAACTGGAAACAATACCCCGGAAAATGAATTAGCTCATCTATTGGCGAATCATCAAACACTAAAAATTAATAATCATGATCGTTTTACTGGAACAAGTCAGGATTCTGGATCTGATGGTGTGTATTCATCTCCCATGACTGGAAACAACACACCGGAAAATGATGAATCTGACCTATACTTCGATCCTTTATCATCCGATGGGGATAAGAAGAAGGAAACTTTTTTCGATCCTATTAATTCCTCAGAAAACGAGGGATTATCCACTCTTTCTAATGGAAGCGAGCCTGATATGATTAGAGTTCTTCGTCGAAAATTAGAGAAAACTAAAAATCAGGACCCGATAACTAATGATGAGGAAACCTCTGATTCTAGTTGTTCATTACAAAAGGATGAACTTGAAATCTCAAGATTACGAACAAATCCTGTTGAAAGTACCGACGAATCATCAAATGGAAGAAGTTCTATTGATACCACGTCACATGACTCACTATGGAGTACATTTGACGACAGTACCTTATCTGAAAATTCTGTTAAAAATGATGCACTTTGTAATATCCATAATCGGGTTCCTAAGTCTCATTCCGATTCAGAGCTACCAGGGATGGTAAATGTTAACGATATTCGACCAACCAGAAGGATAGATGTTCTAGAAGAGGGTGTAGATGAAGTGGACTTTGCTAGTAGTACTTTTGAAAAAGACAATTTGAGAGACAAACTTAATATTTGCCTCAAAAATGGATTAGATCTAAAGAATAAGGATGATGAGGACAGTAATAACGCTGAAATTGATAAGGTGACTCCAATCGAAGAACCTGATCAGTCGACCAACATCAGTACATTTAATATACCAGGTGAGATTCAGGTGTTTTTTTTCGTAAAAACATTTCTAATCAGTATATACTAATACTAAGTTCTATTTTTAGGTGCTCTGACTTTCGAATGCATCAACGGAGCCACAATCGAGGAACCAATTCAAACCGTAAGGAACGAAGTACAGCTGTTAATAAACGATGAATTAATACACAATTTAACAGATGCATCCGAAGTCCTACATAAATTTGACACTACTCCTGACAGTGATAATCAGGATGAAAGTAATACCACCACTAATCTTCATTTGCCATCCGAAGACTCTCCAGAAGAAGAAGAAGAAGAAGAAGAAGAGGAAGAAGAGGAGCAAAGGCCACCAAGAGTTAGACGATGTTCATCCTTAAAAACCGGCAAAACACCACCAGGAACACCGGGTAGAAAGAAAATAGTTCGTTTCGCCGATGTTCTTGGTCTTGATTTAGCAGACGTGAGAACCTTCCTTGACGAAATTCCAAAAGTTCCAAATTCCGCCTATTCCGATTTAATTTATGACGATATATTTCATAAGGAATCAAGTCCCATTAATTGTGGTGTTCAAACATGGAGCGCTAGATACTTAGACAACAATCGAACAAATTCGGTGGTTCAAAAACCAGACAAAACGCTGGTCCCACTTTTTCAGCAACCAGGAGGTCTTCCAAATTTTCTCGATTTTGTTCGCGATCGACGTGTTTGTCTGGAAAATGTTGTTGTCAGTGATCCCATGACTTTATGCATAAAAGGAACTGTTCGGGTGTGTAATTTTGATTTTCATAAATCCGTTCATATCAGATACACCTTAAACTCGTGGAAGACCTATAGTGACCTTCAAGCAACATATGCGCCTAATTCTTGTGATGGTTTTAGCGATAAATTTATTTTCACTCTTTATTGTCATACACTTCGAGTTGGTCAACGACTTGAATTTGCAGTTAGATTCCAATGCAAGGGCAATCAATATTGGGACAACAATTTAGGTGCAAATTATTGCTTTCAGTGCCTACCCTCATCTCCGGCTGTTGGATATATACCAATCACTGCGCCTGAAAACGCACACGATTGGACGCCAATGTTCTATTGATTTGAAGAACATAAGAACTGGATATATGGTCCAGATGATCTGGTCATAAAATAGAGATACTTCATGCTGCATGCGATCTTGCGGAAATGGCTCAAGAGATCTAGATCGTTTATATATAGATGATAAAGAAACACAAAATGCTGCCACTATATTTCGAAAGTTAACAATGTATAATACTCTCAAGAAATACCTAAGTCAATTGTTTATAGATTCGAAGATGAAAATGTTTATCATTTAAAAATCATTGCTATGAAGTTGAATAGAAATATTCTGCAAGATCTTAATCAGTATCGAAGATCTTTGTCATCTATCGATAACTCATTATGTAAAAACACCAAGTCAAAGGAATAAATGTTTTTTCTATATTCTATATAAACACTGCGCTATCAGAATTTTTTAAAACCATAAGAAGACGAAAAGGATGACAGAAACGAGGCTTTTAGAGTGTGAGAGAGAATATTTTTTTGACATAATAAATGACATTAGTCAAATAAAAATAAAGCCTTTAAAAATGAGTTGACTCGGGAAAATAATTTTGCATATGGACATGAACGTCTAAATGCAGAAATATTTATTTTGTTGATAGAAAAGTTGATGGAAAAGAAGATTGTTGACGAAAAAGAAGATTAAAAATAGAAAAAAAGGTTTATTAATCGAAAAGACGTTTGTTTTTAAAAATAGACGCTTATTCATAAAAACAAAACGTTTATTGATAAGAAATAGTCACTATATTGAGATTGATTAATAAAAAAATATGGGAAGAGAAGTACGTGAAATTTTCCTTAAATGTTAATTTTTGAATAGACCTTAAATGTTTGATATATTTTTTTTGTGTATAACATTTTTTATCAACGGTATTTGCCTGAAATTTAGGATCTATTCAAGAGTCGAGCACATGATAAATTTATTTATTGATAAAAAAAAACAAGAAAAGGGATATCAATAAGAAAAAGGAACATTGTCAATGGAATGAAAGAATTAATTACATTGGCATTGGCTTTGAAATCAAATTGTCCTTCTCGTGTGGGTGCCAAATGCTAACCTTCGAAAGTAATTTTCGTTGAGTGAAGCGGAACTGATGAAATGCAATGTTTTTTGAGATGGATGTATCATAATAATATATACCAATACGGTTATTGGCTACCTGCCATAGGGAAAAGAAGACATGTTTCCTAATAATACCAGGGTGCTAAATTTAGTAAATGCTTATAACGACACTTTTCATACAATCAGCCTAAGTTTAGTCAACGATAAACTGAATAAAAAAACTTTAGCCTACACATATAGTTTAATTTAAAAAAATCATTCAAGTACTTGTTAATCTTATTTTTATGTTCGAACTTTTAGAGGTTTTCTCAGTTTTCCATAAAATTCATAGGCTTTACTATTTTTTATGGATTCTGGGAAAAATCTCTAAAAATGTTCATTCAACAAATAAAGATTAAACTGTATCAATAAAATAATGTTAATATTGTCCAATAAAAATATATAAATATTGCTCGGTTAATGAATGGCATCGAAAAATGCAACGATATTTTCAAGAATGTTACAATTTACAATAGAAACTATATTCATATACAAGCTCTCGTTAAAAATATGTCCCTTTTTTAATTTCCAGTAATTTTTTTTGACAAAAAAAAAAAAACGCAAAAACTTAAAATGACAAATATATTCGTATTTATAGCCGAAATAATAAAAAATAATTGTCATTGTTTCATGTTTTTTTTTATTGGAAAAGTAACTGGAAATTAATTTAGTTAAAGATATATGAAAGATCTACAAAAAATAGATATTTTTGGATATAAGTACAACGACTGGGTTCGACGAAGTATATTTTGACATCAAATATTATAAATATGCCTGAGGGTGACTTCCGATTGCTGTAGTTTTTATCGATGTTGAAAAATGAAATTAATATATTATACATATATATAATATAAAAATATCTACACCCACGAAAAGAAATATATCATTAAAGTGTTAAAAGATAAAACGATTAAGGAAAAAAAAAGAATTAACTTTAATTAAACGCTAATGAATATTATAATTTCTGCTCTCGATGAAAGTAAAATAAGAGAACTAATAAAGCAATAAATACATTCATTGATTGTTTGAAATTCAATAACGTATATATCAGTATCAATAAGAGATTATTTGGATATTTTGAAAATTAAAAAAAAAACGCACTTTCTTTTTGTTTAAAAAAAGGTGCTAATTGTACATACGAATTATTGGGAATTTTTTTTTTTTAATGAATTAATGGTGACATTTTTTTTTTTAATGAGAGGCAATATTCCGAGATTTTATTAAGCTCAACTCAATAAATGATTAAAATATAAAAAAATTATAATAATAATAAAATGACGTCATTGTTTGTGAAGATTGTATCTCATATACTTTAATATTGTAGATTAAATATTCTATATGTTTGTGAAGATTCTGTCTCGTATCTACGTTAATTTGTAAATTAAATATGTGGTATTTTTTATATGCCTTTCGTCTAGTCCATATAGAATCGCGAAATCACATTGCAGCAATAAATCGAGAAATCGAGAATCCTCAGGAACACTTATAGAAAATCATATTAAATTATATATTTATAAATTGAATTTATATTTAAACTTCTTCAGTAAATTTAATTTTTACCCTATATACTTATTTTGTCAAGACTATATAATATTAAATCAAATCATTTTATTTTAATTTATATATTATTTCGTGAACTCGATTTTTTCTTTATAAGCGTGTAATTTTTTTTCGCGTTGTATAAATTTATTAATTATGTGAAATTAGGCTGTGCAGATCGTTGAATTGCCGCTGGAGATTAAAGACGTCGAGAAATGAATGTGTGGTTATTATAAAAATAACGATTTTTCAATCGTTTATTAAGGGCGTCGTTGAACTTTTATCTCGGTAATTCGCTTCTGATTTTATTCTTTTTTTTTCTTTTTGTGTATAAGAATGAAAATTTACATTGAGAAATGTTGCAAAAAAAAAAAAAATAAATAAATTTTTTTTTACACGTTTCTAAATAAGAAAAGCTCGTCGACAAAAGGAAACATTATTTTTTTTAAAAGGGGGAGAAAAAAAACAGAATTTGCCAGAAGATTATTAAAATAAAATGGCAAAAGTTAGACTGAACTTGGAAAGAAAATCATAATATTGAAATATGAAATTTGTTTTCGATATATAATTGATTTTCTCAGCGTTTATTATAAATGCCGATATGTATATAAAAAATGTTGAGATTATTGTTTTTCTTAACGACGAGCTAAGAGATCTTTTTTCAAGTATGTATTTGATTGTTGTAGTAGAATGTATATCGTTTTGGTTAAGTTAGAAATACATTATGTAATGGTTAAAAAAAAAAAACATAGAAAAATCACTTATTGAATGCGTGAGATTGAGTGAATTAATGATAGTACCTGAAAGATTATGAATGAAAAAAAACGGAAGCAAGCGATGAAAAATTTCTATTTTTTTAATTAAATTTTTCTCTAAATTTTTTTTTACAGGGTAACGAGAAACAATTTTAAATATTTATAACTTTTCCAATTTATTTAAAATAATAACTTAAAGAAAAGAATAATATGTTGAAATATTTTAATTTGTTTCTATTTAGCCCGTAGTATTTTATTTTATTCAATTTTCGAAAAATTGTTTGTCTTTTTAATATGGTGCTGTTAAAAAGCTTTGACAAAAGATATCATTTTTTATATATATGTAAACCTCGTGTTTGATACTAATTTATAAATGTATTTTTTACATCGACCTATAATTATTATTGTAAAAGTCCAAATAGAAGAGTGCCTGAATAACGAGAATATAATTACGAATGCATGTACCATAATGAACGATATATATATATATATATATATATATATATATATATATATATATATATATATTGTACATGAAAAAAAGAAGTCATGCATCTACAGAAATATTACACAAGCATCTACTATACATACACACGTATATATGTAATGTTGTTTTAAATATTATTACGACAATAAATGGAAAACTAAATTATATTTAATGTTCTTTCCAAGTCTGAATGATAAATTTCATCAAATTTTTTAAATATAAATAATTTAAAAAAAAATTTTTTTTCTATTTATATATTTATTATTTTATTGGAAAAATATAATTATCGTTATTTGTATAATTAATTCAAAAGTTTCGCTGATTTTTATATGAACTCTTACGATTTCTTGACTCTTTGTTTATTAATAAAACATTGAAGTATCATTAATAATTATTGACCTATGAACTTTTTTAATCATATTATGGGGTCCTTAACAGAAGAAAAGATTCTTGAAACAAAATGATTACTCTCATAATGAATCAACTAGTTAAATTTGTACGTGTCTATTTTTTTTAATAAAGATAAAAAAAGCAAAATAAATTTTTTTAAATCACAACTCCTAATATTTGATTTTTAAAAATAATTCTGTAATTTGTAATTTAAAAAATTACAAACAAAACTGATTTTTGTCTTACATGCGTAGGGCCGGTTCGATTCATAATTTAATTATTATTTTTATTACAGTCGAACCTCGATAAGTGAGAAACCGCTATAAGTAAAAGTTATCGACAGGTTCGTATCTAAATTTTCCAGAAAATTATGAATTTTTGTAAGTCAAATATCAGTCCCTTGAAATCTCACTTATACAGGTTTGACTGTATATAAATAAAATTTTTTAATATCGCCTCCAAATAATGGTAGACTCGACCCTGGTTTACATACTATTAAATGAATTGATTTTGTTGGATGCTAATTAGGCTTCTACATAAATCGTACCCTGCCACTTCTAATAAAATTGGTTGAAATTTAAAAGCATTTGTAAAGACAGTAAGGAATCATTGGTAATAGTGAAAACATGTGAATGTGTTATTCTACATTTTTTTAATTATTAATTTACCTAAATTTTCTATTTCTTTTTGGCACATTAGTATTGTATATTATTTTGTTAAAAATAATTAAATAATTAAATATATAGAAAAATGACGGAAATTCAAAGTTTTTATGAAGGACAAAATGTTTTTATAACAGGTATAAAAATTATTTGAACTTTTTTTTTTTTAAAATTCAATTATTCATCTAATTTTATTGACAGGTGGAACAGGATTTTTAGGAAAAATTTTAATAGAAAAATTACTTCGAAGTTTTCCGCAAATTGGAACTATTTATATATTAATTCGTTCAAAAAAAGGGAAAGATATCAAAACTCGATTGGATGAATTCTTTTCTGTACAAGTAATATAATAGATTTAAAATTTATTTCAAAATTATTTTTAAGCTTCTAATTTTTTATTATATTTAAATTTTTTTTACAAACATTTTGTAAATTTGAATTTTATTTATTTATTTTTATGGAAAAAAAAAATTCATTCTATTCAGAAAACCTATTTACAGGTATTCGAGGTATTGGAAAAAATAAATCCTAATTTTAGAGAGAAAATAGTAGGAATTAGTGGAGATGGAACTGAACCTGCCTTAGGAATATCAGCCAAAGATCGTTTACTTCTTACAAATGAGGTATATGATTTAAAATGAAAAAAACTATTACAAATTTAAATATAATAGAAAAAAGATTGTTTAAAACAGCAAAAAAAAAAGATGTTATAAAAAGGGAGTCTAAAGAGGGAAAGAATTTTTTTTTTTTTTATGGAAAATGAAGAAAAATAGGAGAATATAAGAAAAACAATTTGATGTCTGTAATTATATTTTGAAGAGTAATTAGATTTAAATTATAATCGATTTAATCGCACGTGGATTACATAGTGTGACTTGCAATAGTTGATTTAATTAATTGAATACATAATTGAATTTAAGAATAGGAAGAAATGATATTGCAAAAAAGTTTCCTCTAAGAATTTGGTATAAATTCAAAAAAATTGTTATTGAAAATTTTTAATTATCGTGAAAAAAATATATTAAATTTTTTCGCAAAAAAAGTTATAAATTAAAAAATTAAGTAACTTTAAAACAGATTAAATATAATATACAATGATAAATTAATTGTAATACGTAAATGTTTATAGGTGTCAATTATTTTTCATGCAGCAGCTACTGTAAAATTTAATGAACCATTGTCAGTAGCTGTAGCTATTAATGTCAATGCAGTAAAAGAATTAATTATTCTTTGCAGAGAATGTAAAAAATTAAAGGTAATTATAATTAAATTTTAATTAACTCAAAAATGCGAAGAATTTTGATTAAAAAATTTTTTTTTTAAATCATTTTTACAGTCAGCAGTCTATGTATCCACAGCTTTTAGTAATTGTATTTATGAAAAAATAGAGGAAAAAATTTATCCGTCACCAATGTCTTGTGAGCAAATTAATGCAACAGTAAATATAATGAAATATAAAAATTTAACAGAAGAGGAAGAAGAGCAAATGACAAAAAAGTATCTACTAAAACTAGATATTTCCTATAAATTAATTTTATGAATAAATTTAATCCTATTAATAGAATTTCAGTATTTTAGGTAAATTTCCCAATACATATACTTTTACAAAAGCAATAGCTGAAAGTTTAATAAATGAAAATGCAAAGGATCTGCCATTTTGCATATATAGATTTTCAATAGGTAAATAGAAAAAATAATTTAAAAATAAATTATAATATTATTTAGTTTTATTTAATTAGAGAAAGAGCAATGTTTTTTTTTTATAGTTAAAAAAATACGTTTAAAAAATTTTTTTTTGTTCCTACAGCATTGTCAACATATAAAGAACCATTTCCTGGATGGCTCGATGCTTATCAAGGATTAAATGTTGCTATTTCACAAGTTGGCAGAGGTTTAATTCATGTTCTTTATGCAGATCCGAGTGCAAAATGTGATTTTGTACCTGCTGATTTTGCCAGCAATGCATTAATTGCATCTGCTTGGGGAAATTATTCTATGCAAAGAGGGTAATTTTTACATTCATTTTTAATTTATTTATAATAGTAATTTGAGTAATTTTCAATATTTTATGTAAATTATTATTATTCATAAATAATAATAATAATAATAATAATAATAATATTTACTAATTTCATTAACATTTAACAGACAAAATGAAGATATTGCAGTGTACAACTATGTTTCGGGTACAGATAATCCTATTCTTTGGGAAGATCTTAGAAAAATAATGGTAGTATTGAGAAATACAATAGCAACCAATAAATGTATCTATTATCCATTTGGATGGTATATTAAGTCGAAAATAGTGTTTGATATTTTAAACTTTTTTTTACATTTTTTACCTGCTTTAATTGTTGATTTAATTTTAAAACTGATTGGAAAAAAACCCATGTAAGTATAATGTAGAAACAATTAATAAAGAAATTTTGTTTATTTATTTTATAAGTATTTTACTATTTATTTTGTTTTTCAGACTCTATAAAGTTTATAACAGAGGAATAAAGTTATTAAACGTTATAAGTTTTTTTATGATTCAAAAATGGGATTTTGATACACATAATGTTCGATTACTTTGGAATAAACTTTCCGAGAATGACAAAAAATTATTACCTTTTGATATTACTTCATTTAATTGGTTTGATGGTATAAGTGTATATATTGAAAGTATTAAAAGATATGTTTTAAAAGACGATATTAATGAATTCACGATAAAAAAAAGTCAACGCCATATTAAAAGGTTTGATTGTTAATGTCAATTTTAATTGTTCAAATTAATATTAATTTTTCTATTTATATAATTTCCGGTAAATTTTAATAGATTTCTAATTAGTAAAAATATTTTTATTTTGCAGACTTTGGACAATTCATCAAATCGTAAAAATTATTTTTGGATATTTTGTTTTATGGTTCATTTGGAAAATTATTTGTATGTTTAAAATTTTACTGTAATATCAAAAATAATTGTATTTGTTCTCTATCATTTAAATATTTAATTACGATTTAATTGTAATAAAATTCACCATCTGCGATAAAAAAAAATTGTACATCGATTATAAAATGTAATAAAAAGAAAGTAATTAAATAAATTGTTTTGTAATTTAATTGTGTATTAAACTATAAAAGAGTTTCTTTAGTGCTTTTTAACGCAGGGGAAGTTAGAAGAAGAAAGAAAATTAAATTTTCAATTTATTCAAAATTATAGTATCAATTTTTGGGTTTCACGAAAAGATAATAAATTTTGATACCTTTTAATTATTATTTTTGAGGGATTTTTAAATAATAATTATTTGGAAAAATAATTCGGTTTATAAAGATGTTTCCTCCTCTTTAATGAATACTGTTTTTTACACTTGAGACCTTTGAGCATATTTTAAGCGAAAAAATTCGATTGTTCAAAAGTCGAAAGTCAAAATAGACACTAACAAAACAAATTTTCTTAAACGGTTACTTGATTTCATGAAATGAATATTAATTTGTATTAAATAAATTTATTTTAGTTTACTGGTACTCAAAAACTTTAGGGAATGGCATTTTTTAAACATTTTTAAAATAAAAAAAACTTTGAAATACTTATATAATATTTTTTTGAAAAAAAATTAATTTAAATCAAAATTTGTTCAATTAAATATATTCTCTGAAACTTTATTTAACTTTTTTCATGTAAACAAATCGACATTAACTGGTCAAAATCAAGAAAAAAAAACTGTTCTTTATTGACTAAATTAACACAAACAATTATTACATCAACTCTTATTTTTACAAAATTAAATTCACTTTAAAATGTATTGCTGTCATGATATTGGAGAGTTCGTCAGCATTATTTCCATTTCCTCCAAAAATTCTAAATAAAAATAACGTAACTCGTTTATATTATAATTCATTTATGAGATATTCCCACCACGAATTTACATTTTTTTAGGTAAGATTCACGTTAGTTGTATTTCAGTTTGTAAGTGTCTTTCAAACCAAAATAACGTTTAAATCGTGACAATCAATTTTTTTAAAGAGTAATTTAACAAATTTAGAAGTGAACTTGAAAAATTAACTAATCTTCAATCATGACAGAAATTCAACAATTTTACAGTGATCAAAGTATATTTATCACAGGTAATGAGATTTAAAGTTTTATTTCATAAAAAAGTATATATTTTTTTAAATTTTTAATTAAAAAAAATTTTTTTTATATTAAATAAAATTAGAACTATAATAATATAAATTTTCTACTTTTAATTCAAATATTTATTCATCTATTTTGTTACAAATTAATTAGGTGGAACAGGATTTTTAGGGAAAATTCTTATTGAAAAATTGCTTCGTTCGTGTCCAAACATTAAAGTCATTTATATTTTAATTCGACCGAAAAAAGGAAAACAAATTACTGATCGAATTAAAGAAATGACTAGTTCACTTGTAAGATAAATTCCTATTTTAGTTATAAAAATAATTTTTAACTATAAATTAAAAGCGTAATTAAATAATTAATTAATAGGTTGTATTTTAACCGAATTTTTATTATTATTATTATTATTATTATTATTATTATTCTTAGTATATAAATTAATAATTATTGAAGTATAACCTAAATTATTACATAATAGTCAGTTACTTAATATAATTATAAATATTAACTTGTTTCTCTTTGAATAACAGATGTTTGAATCTTTAAGAGAAATAGATCCAAATTTTGACAAAAAAATTATACCAATGCCTGGCGATATAATAGAACCTAATTTCGGACTTTCGTCTGCAGATTTAGAGTTGATTAAGAAAGAGGTAGATAAACTAAAATTGTAATTGTATTTTAAATAAAAAAAAATATAGAACTAAATTTATACTTATAGAAGTAATCAAAAAGAATTGATAAAAATTCAAATTTTTATGTAAGATATTTAGTAATTAAAACAAGATAATTCAATGTTAATTAAAATTTTTAAATAGGTTTCAATTATATTTCATGCAGCAGCTACTACAAGATTTGATGAACCATTAAAAATTGCACTAAAAATAAATGTCGATAGTGTGAAAACTATGATTGACATTTGTAAAGAATGCAAAAATTTAAAGGTAAGAAATAAATATTTAAAATATTTTTTGATTAAAAATTTAATTTCATATTTATTTACCGGGAATTTTTTTTTCAAATTTAGTCCTTTGTGTACGTATCAACAGCATTTAGTAATTGCATTTATCAGCATGTAGAAGAAAAAGCATATCCAGGACCATTGTCACATGAGAAACTAAGTGAACTTGTCGGTGTAATGGACCAATTAAATATGTCCAAAAAAGAAGAAATCAGATTCACCAAATTGTACGTAAAAAATAATTACTGTTTTAGTAGAAAAGTTTTTTGTTTTTATTTTAAAATACAAAATAATTTGTTTTTGTATTAGGGTCAGTCGGGGTAAATCCGAACGGGGGGTAAATCCGAACGCTAATTATTTCAGCTTAATTAAAATTTTTAAAAATAAGTTCGATATGAGAATTTTTACCTCAGATCCTCTTGAAGAGATTCTAAGTATTATCCCATTTTTTGTTTGTTAATTAGCAACAGCATAAACAAAGATAACAAGTATTGCAAAAAAGATTGAAAATCAAAGATGACACTCTTTCAGTATTTTGTCTCGTATTTGAAGAAAAAGAAGCTAAAAATTCATTTTATTATTTATAATTGTTTGTTATGAATACTAGAACAGAAACTATTTTTGATTTTTGCCTTCTGTAAAATTTTATTAATAATATCAGACCGTTCGTATTTACCCAAAAAAATTGGAAAACTGGGGTAAATCCGAACGGTATTTTTAATAATTTTTTTTTACATCAAAGCCACACAAAATTGTTTTTATTTGATTACACTATTATTTTAACATTATAAAAGTACATAGAAAAAAGTTTTTCTTTCTATACGTATCCTCGTTAGTAATTAATAAGCAGAAACTTAATCTCTGTTCTCTCGAAGGAGTGTTCCACTTTTTTTGCCAAATGGTTTGTTGAAAAAAGTTTTACAGGATCTTAATAAAATTTGGTATTCTACGGTTTTTGGGGTCGCTAATTACCAATTTGAAGTCAGTTTTTCAAAATTCAAAATGGCGGACGAGAATTAAAAAATTCACTCCAAAATACTTTCTGTACCAAGTTTTGCAAAAATCCGTTATGATTTAATAAAGTTATTGAAGGTTTTAATTGTGTAATGCATTTTAATTTTTAACCTGTTTGATTTTTGTATTTATATATGATGCATTATTACATAATAGGTTTATTATCGTATTTTTTTTGAGTTTTTATATAAGTTTAACAATTGCAATACTTTAAATTTATTTTCCCTAAGATTTTTCTGAAATACAGTGGCGTTCGTATTTACCCCCATATTTTAGGAAAGTTGCAAAGTATCGAGGTAAATACGAACGCTAAGTTTCCTGCGATTGTAATTTATCAAAAATTTTTTCTACCCCATAAAATTGTTCTATGGAAGTAAAGTAACAACTTCATGCACCAGAATACCGGAAGTATTTTTTTTTTTAAAGAAAAAACTTATGTTATTGTTGAAACTTACTAAAAGCGTTCGGATTTACCCCAGTTGACCCTATAATTATATAAAAAAAATTCAGAAAAATTTGTTATATTTTTATTACATGTTGATTTATTGCAATATATGTAAATGAAATGAAATCATTTAAATTTACATTATTGAATAATGTGAAAATTTATTTTCAGGGTGATTGGCAAGTTCCCCAATACATATTGTTTTACGAAATCGATTGCCGAAGAGCTTATCAGTAAAAATACGAAAGATCTACCAGTCTGCATTTACAGATTTTCAATCGGTAGTTAGATTATAAATTAAAAAGAAATTATTTTGATTTAAAAAAAAATATTTTTATTTGTAAAAAAAATACTAAATTAAATATATAATTAATTTTTTTTTTTAATATTCTAAAACTTTTTTTCATAGCACTAGCTGCACTAAAAGAACCTTTAGAGGGTTGGTTGGATTCAAAGCAAGCACTTACTCAGGCTTTAATAGGATTAGGTTTAGGTGTCATTCGAGTGATGAGTATAAATGGAAACGCAAATATGGAAACAGTACCAATTGATTTGGCATGTAATTGTTTAATTGCTTCTGCATGGGAAACATCAACCAGTAAAAATAAGTGAGTATAATCTATTAATTTTTTTAAGGCACAACATTTTTTATGCAAAGAAAAATATTTTCAAACCGAAGTTTGAAAATCAAGTTATTTACACCAAAAACAAAAAAAATCCAAGGTGTAACTCTGGATTCTTACCATACGGAAAAAAGTTAAAGAACCTTGGAATTAGCATACAATGAAAGTAGAATTTATTAAAGTCCGTTAATTCAAATGTCGCAACTAAATTAAATTAATTCAATTTTAACTCATCTTTGACAACCAGTAGGTCACACACGCGTCCAAACAATTTTCAACATTTCAAATTCCTAAAAAATCACAGAAATGCCAGTTGAACACTTTTACTAAACTAATTAACCTATGAACTACCATGCCTTCAAAAGGATTAAAGCATTTTGAATATTGATTCAAAAAATAATTTAGAATTCATAGACTTACAAAGTTTCTTATTACGTCAATGCTAAAGTTGGTAATTTCAATTTTATTTTAAATTTTTATCAAAGCACAAGAGTTTAGAATATATTTTAATATACAAAATTTTTATTTATAAACAAAAAATTGTGTTTAAAGGGTTAATATATTCATTAAGAAGTTAAAGTATTTATTAAATTTTCAGTAAACAAGAAAATATGCGAGTTTATAACTACGTTTCCGGTACAGACAACCCAGTAACTTGGAACTATTTAAAAGACTACCTTCGTACTCAACGATACAATTTAGCAATGAAGAAAGCAGTCTACCATCCTGAAGTTATATTTATTAAATCTTTTCATCTATATTTTCTTTTGCACTACATATTTCATTTCCTTCCAGCTGTTATAGGAGATGTAATTTTAAGAATATTAGGTCGAAAACCAGTGTAAGTGAAAACTAAGAATACTAAAGAATACTAAGAATACTAGAATACTAAGAATATCTAAAATTATTCCAACTTTTAAAAGTTGTTGAAAATTAAAATTTAGAGCAAAAATAGAATACAAAACATTTTATTAGCTCTACATATGTAAATTAAAATTTTGAATTATATATTTTTAAACAGGTTATATAAAGTTTTTAAGAAGGGAACTAAACTTTCATTAGTCATAAGATTCTTCACTAACGGACAATGGGAATTTGACACAGACAATGTTAAATCATTGTGGGGAAAACTTTCTATAAATGATAAGAAATTATTTAATTTTGATATCACATCTTTTACTTGGGATGAGATGATTAGCAGACACTGTGAGGGAGGTATGAAATACGTTTTGGGAACGGATATTAATGCAAAATATGAAAGAGAATTAGCTGCACGTAAACTAAGAAGGTAAAAAATATCATAATTCAAAAAAAATAACGAATAAGAATATTACTTTTAAATTAAATTCAAAAAAAATTATGCTATTCAAATATTTCAGATTATTCTATATTCATCAAGTAGTTCGAGGAATATTCTATTCTATTGTCTTGTGGATTCTTTGGAAAATTTATAATTTATTATTTAATAGATTATAACAGTCTGAAGCAATTTTTATATATTTATCTGTATAAAATACGCAAATGTAAATATTGCATAAATGATCAGCAAAATATAAAATTTTGCAAATAATTTACTATTATTTACAGTTCTTACTTCCTTAGATAGTAATAAAATTTGTAAATGTGTTACATACAAAGTATCATAAGTAAATACAAATTAAAACGTTACATATAAAAATCTAAAATTCGATTTAAATATACGAATTAGGAATAATTTGGAAATTACACATTTCAAAAGTTAGCTTTGTTTATAATTGTCAAAAAATTTCTTAAATTACATATGTATATTAACACATTAGCAAATAAAATTATAAAAAAAGAGGAACAATGAAATTTAATTAAATTAAAAAAACATTATTTCTTGAATGAAAATTCAAAGCAAAAACAATGTTAGCAATGTATTATTTTTTTCCCACCATTTATTAACAATGTTTTCTAAGCACACTATTGATAGTTTGTATTCAGCAATCAGAGTGTATTTGACTTTCAATTTTCAATAACATTTACTGAATTCAAGTAGTTAAAAAATATATCTACATATCAAAGTGAGTTAAAAAAACCATTGTTTTTCTACCTAAGAGATAGAAATTTTCACCAAAATAAAAAAACTTCAAATAATAACACAGGAAATTAAAAAGCATTAAAATAAGCTGCAACGCTTATTATTTTAATCCAATTTTGCTTATTTTAATACCAAAATGGATTAAAATAATAAGCATTGCAGCTTATTTTACTCTCTAAATTTGAATCAGCGATAAGAATACCACTGGTACCAATCAGCGGATATACGCTGAAAAATCAGTGAAATTCCACTAATTTATCAGTGCATATAAGCTGATTGGAATCAGTGGTATACTTATAGCTGAGAATCAGCGAGATTCCACTGATTCAAATTTAGAGAGTAATGCCTTATAATTTTCTGTGAAATTTCCAAAACAACTTAAAACAACCTATCAGCAACGTAAAAATTTTGTTGAAATCAAAAAGTAAACTATTTTTAACAATTTCAGAACTATTTCTTCTCAGTGTTCAAATCGTCAGTCAAATTTTTTTTTTAATCAAAATAATTTGAATTAAACATAAAAAAAAAATTAATAATTCTTCAGTCATGACAGAAATTCAAGAGTTTTACAGTGGTCAAAGTGTATTTATCACGGGTAATAATATTAAAGATTTTATTACTGAAAATATATTTTTATTTCTTAATAATTTTAATTTATTTATTCAAATATAGGCGGAACAGGATTTTTAGGGAAAATTCTAATCGAAAAACTCCTTCGTTCATGTTCAAAGATAAAAGTTATTTATATTTTAATCCGTCAAAAAAAAGGAAAACAAATTCAAGATCGAATCAGTGAAATAATAAATTTACAGGTGAGAGACATATTTATATTAAACAATGAAATTATTTGTAATATATGTGTGCGAATGAGAATTATAATTAATTTTTCTCGTATGTAATATTTTATAATATATTTATGAAACAATTGTTATTTTGTATATTAACAAAAACAGATTAACTTTTTTGTTGTCATTATTTATAATGAAAAATCAGTTTCATTTTTGACGAACTTTTTTGTTACTATCGTATTTAAAGTTATTCTATTATTATAAACACTATTAACAAAATCAATTTTAAAATACTTTAAATTGTTAAATAGATGTTTGAACCTTTAAAAGAAATAGATCCCATGTTTGAGAGAAAAATTGTACCACTGGCTGGCGATATAATGGAACCTAATTTTGGACTTGCGTCTGCAGATTTAGAATTAATTAAGAAAGAGGTAAATCCATTTACCAATATATTAAGTAATTAAACTTTCGACGAATGTAAATTAAAGAATAATGGTTTTATCATAGGTGATAATTTTATGAAAAGATAAATAAATAAAATTATTTATAGGTTTCAATCATATTTCATGCAGCAGCTACTACAAGATTTGATGAACCATTAAAAATTGCACTAAAAATAAATGTCGATAGTGTGAAAACTATGATTAACATTTGTAAAGAATCCAAAAATTTAAAGGTAAGAAAAAATATTTAAAATATTTTTGGATTAAAAATTTGATTTCATATTTATTTAGCGGGAATTTTTTTTTCAAATTTAGTCTTTTGTGTACGTATCAACAGCATTTAGTAACTGCATTTATGAGCATGTAGAAGAAAAAGTATATCCAGGACCATTGTCACATGAAAAACTAACTGAACTTGTTGGTGTCATGGACCAATTAAATATGTCCAAAAAGGAAGAAATTGAATTCACAAAATTGTACGTAAAAAAGAATCAAAAATTTTTTTCAGAAAGTATCCAAAATTAAAAAATCTGATTATAAATATTTTTCAGGGTGATTGGAAAATTTCCTAATACATATTGTTTTACAAAATCAATTGCAGAGGAACTCATTAGCAAAAGTGCAAAAGATCTTCCAGTCTCCATTTACAGATTTTCAATTGGTAGTTATATTTAATTTTGTAAAAAAAATAATTAACTCTACACTAGCTCTCTAAAAAAAATTTATTTGATTCAAATACCGATGTATTTGGTTATTATCAAATAAATATTTACTTGAATCAAATATTTCTTATTTGAATCAAATAAATGATATTTTCTTCAAATACTGAAATATTTGATTCAAATATTATATATTTGATTCAAGTAAAGATTTATTTGATAATAACCAAATACACCGGTATTTGAATCAAATAAATTTTTTTTTCAGTGTAGTAATCATTATCTTTTCCATAGCAATGGCAGCTTTAAAAGAACCTTTAGAAGGATGGGTGGATGCAAATCAAGCCCTTAATCAAACTTTGATAAAAGTATGTTTAGGTATTATTCGAGTCCAATGTGTTAAAAAAAACGCAAATATGGAAACTGTACCGATTGATTTGGCTTGTTCTTGTTTAATTGCATCTGCATGGGAAACATCAACTATTAAAAATAAGTAAGTTTATATTTAAAAAAATAATGTAATGCTTTTTATGGATAAAAAATAAATTGAAAAAAAATTCTAAGGTTTTCTTTTTATTTATAGAATTTTGATTACAGCTTAATAGATTTTAGAAAATATTTCAATACCAAATTTTGCATTATTTTTAAAAAAAGATGGCCTTAAAGTTTAATGTATTTTTTTAAAAATTAATAAACTCATCAAATTTTCAGTAAAGAAAAAAATATGCGAGTTTACAACTTCGTTTCCGGTACAGAAAACCCAGTAACTTGGAACCATTTTAGAGACTATATTTCCACTAATCGATACAATTTAGGAATGAAAGAAACATTTTACCATCCTGAAATTATGTATATTGAATCTATTCATCTATTTTTTCTTTTGCACTACATATTACATTTCATTCCAGCTGTTATAGGAGATGTAATTTTAAGAATATTAGGTCAAAAACCAATGTAAGTGAAAAATATCAAGATATACATACTAAGAATATCTAAAATTATTCCAACTTTTAAAAGTTGTTGAAAATTAAAATTATATATTTTTAAACAGGTTATATAAAGTTTTTAAGAAAGGAACTAAACTGTCATTAGTCATAAAATTCTTCACTAATGGACAATGGACATTTGATACAGACAATGTTAAATCATTGTGGCGAAAACTTTCTATAAATGATAAGAAATTATTTAATTTTGATATCAAATCTTTTACTTGGGATGAAATGATTAACAGACACTGTGTGGGAACTAAAAAGTACATTATGGGATTGGAAATAAATGAAAAAGAAACAGAATTAGGTGCACGTAAACTAAAAAGGTAAAAAATTTCATAATTCAAAAAAAAAAAAAAACGAATTAGAATATTACTTTTATATTATATTCAGAAAAATTTTGCAATTAAAATATTTCAGATTATTCTATATTCATCAAGTAGTTCGAGGAGTATTCTATTGTACTGTCTTGTGGATTCTTTGGAAAATTTATAATCTATTATTTAATAGATTGTAACAATCTGAAGCAATTTTTGTTTCTGTAAATTTATACAAAGTATACAGACTTTATTATCCCAATATAAATATACAATAGCTCTCATTTAGAATACTACGAATGCATATTTAAAAAAATAGCACTGTTTTTGGTTATCAAAAAATTTGTAATAAATTTTTAGTAACACATTAGTAAATGGAAATATTTTTAAAAATGAAAACCAAATGCGATTTAATTTTATTTTAAAATAATTCTTTTCTGCTATCTGATAAATTCACAACAACAAAAATCTAACTCGGTTAAAAAAACTATTATTACTTTCCCACCACTATAATCAACAGTTTTTTTTCTAAGCAAAATATTGATAGTTTGTACTTAACAATCAGTCTTTATTCGCCTTTCAATCTTAAATAACGTTTACTGAATACAAATTGTCGCAAGAAAGGATTTACATATCGGGCTGAATAAGTATGTAAAATCGGACCCCGAATGAATCAAGTTCAAATAAACATTATTTTTTTCTACCTTGACGATATATATTTTCATTAAAAAAATTTTTTGGAGTAATCAAAATTTTTTCTCTAATTTAAAAAAAATTAACATTCACAGATTTTACAATAGGTGAAAAGAATTTTAAAAGAAACAAAATTAAACTATTTTCAACAATTTCAAAACTATAATTTGAATTAGAATAAAATTTGAATTAAACATAAAAAAAAAATAATAATTCTTCAGTCATGACAGAAATTCAAGAGTTTTACAGTGGTCAAAGTGTATTTATCACAGGTAATAAGATTAAAGATTTTATTTCATAATAATTTGTAGATTTTTATATTAAATAGAATAGGAAAAAGTTTTAATCTTAATTTAATTTTAATTCAAATAAAGGAGGGACAGGATTTTTAGGGAAAATTCTAATCGAAAAACTCCTTCGTTCATGTTCAAAGATAAAAGTCATTTATATTTTAATCCGACCAAAAAAAGGAAAACAAATTCAAGATCGAATCAAAGAAATAATGAAAATACAGGTGAGAGAAATATTTTTATATTAAAATATAAAAATAATAAAAGTAATTGATTTGGCAATTTTTTTAGGGATTTAGATAATAATTTAAAATATAAATTTATTTCTAATTTATGTATAAAACAATTGTTTTTCATGCTAAGAATAACGGATTTTGTCTATCACTCTTTAGCTGAAGAAAAACTAAAGTTTTCTATGTTAATAAATTATTTGTTATTATCATATTTAAATTTATTAGCAATTAAAATAATCCTACATTTGGAAAATCAATTATAAAATTTGCCACACGCTTTAACAGATGTTTGCACCTTTAAGAGAAATAGATCCAAATTTTGAAAAAAAAATTATACCAATGCCTGGCGATATAATGGAACCTAATTTCGGACTTTCTCCTACAAATTTAGATTTAATTAAGAAAGAGGTAAATAAAATAAAATTGTAATTGTATTTAGATAAAAAAAACTATAGAACTGAATCTATACTTATAGAAGTAATCAAGAAAAATTGATAAAAATTCAAATTCTATGGTAAATTAATTAATAATTATCAAGAAAATTAAATGTTAATTAACAATTTCAAATATTATTTATAGGTTTCAATTATATTTCACGCAGCAGCTACTACAAGATTTGACGAAAAATTGAAAATTGCATTGAAAGTAAATGTCGATAGTGTGAAAACTATGATTGACATTTGCAAAGAATGCAATAATTTAAAGGTAAACAAAAATATTTAATAGATATTTTTTCATTAAAATTGTATTTTATAATTATTTACCGGGAATTTCTTTTCAAATATAGTCTTTTGTGTACGTATCAACAGCATTTAGTAACTGCATTTATGAGCATGTAGAAGAAAAATCATATCCAGGGCCCTTGTCACATGAAAAATTAATTGAACTTGTTGGTGTCATGGACCAATTAAAAATGTCCAAAACGGAAGAAATCAAATTCACAAAATTGTACGTAAAAAAGAATCTAGAATTTTTTTCAGAAAGTATCAAAAATTAATATAATTAGAATATGTATATATTTTCAGGGTGATTGGCAAATTTCCTAATACATATTGTTTTACAAAATCAATTGCAGAGGAACTCGTTAGTAAAAATGCAAAAGATCTTCCAGTTTCAATTTACAGATTTTCAATAGGTATTTACATAATTTAATTTTTTTTAAATTATTCATAAAAAATATTATATATCTACAAGAAGGATATTTATAATATTATTTTCATCAACTACATGGAAAATAATCTGTTTATCTGTTTTTAGCAATGGCAACTTTAAAAGAACCTTTAGCGGGTTGGTTGGATTCATCACAAGCCCTAACTCAGGCAATAGCAAGAATAGGAATAGGTGTTATTCGAGTTATATGTGCAGAACAAAACGTAATTATGGAAACAGTGCCAATGGATTTAGCTTGTAATTGTCTAATTGCTTCTGCATGGGAAGCTGCATCTAATAAAATTAGGTATGTCAAGTGAAACACAACTATTTGATATTCATATGACAAGAAAATTCATCAAAAAGATATGTATTCTTAAAAATTAAATATAATAATTTAGATAAATTAATTTTAAAAATATATCAAAATTTTCAGTAAAGAAAAAGATATGCGTATTTATAATTACATCTCAAGTAAAGATAATGCCGTAACTTGGGGTTATTTAAGAAACTATCTTCGAAAAGAACGATATAATGTAGCAGTCATGAAAACAGTCTACCATCCTGAAACTCTGTTTATTGAATCATTGAAATTATTTTTTATCTTTCACTACATATTACATTTCATTCCAGCAGTTTTAGGAGATTTATTTTTAAGAATATCAGGAAGAAAGCAAATGTAAGTTATAGAAAATTATAGATATACATGAAATTTTTGAAAGATAATAAATTTTTAAAATTTCTTTTAGTTTTTATAAAATGTTTAAAAAAGGAACTAAACTAGTACTAGTTATAAGATTCTTTACAAATGGAAAATGGATATTTGAAACAAATAATGTTAAATCATTATGGAAAAAACTTTCTGAAAAGGATAAAGAATTATTTAACTTTGATATCACTTCGTTTACTTGGGATGAAATGCTAAAAGCTCAATGTCATGGAATTAGAAAATACTTTTTGAAAATAAATATGAGTGCGGAAGAACAAGAAAAAGCTACCCGTAAAGTAAAAAAGTAAAAATCTACACTTTTTGTTTAAACAAAATAATATTTACGATGAAAGAAAATTTTTCTAAACTAAACAAATGTTTTCGTCATAAAAAATTTATCTTTGAATGAAATTTTAAATCAAAGAAATATTTCTTTGATTGTACAACATGACTAGAACATTTTGTTTAAAGTAAAATTTTCAATTGAAAAATTGTTCTATGAGTGTGTATAATTCACATGTCTCATTTGATTATTTCAGATTATTCTACATTCATCAAGTTTTCCGAGTTGTTTTTTACTTTATAGTCTTGTGGTTGTTTTGGAAAATTTATTGTTTATTATTTTAATAAATTAGAACTTTACACGGAGAGAAGAATTAAATTGAATATCCTTCTCTCCTTGCTCTCTAAATATGAATTAGTAAAAATGTTTACTAATTTGAATTAGTGACGCACTTTTTGCTTCTGAATTAGTAAAATTTAACTAATTCTAAAGCAAAAAGTGAGTCACTAATTTAAATTAGTAAACATTTTTAATAATTCAGATTTAGAGAGTGCATATATATATATATATATATAATTATATAATATTTGAAGGAAATTTTTAATGTACTTTTATAAAACTGATTAAAAAAACAATGATATTCTAATTTTTAGAGTTAAATAGTGCGTTATGCACGTCACTCCCCTAATAGAGTCGCTAAGTTTTGCAAAATATTTTTTTCCACGAAATTTGCTCACGTCAATACGTATATTTAATAAATTATTAATGAAAAATTTTTTTTCGATTAGAAGTAACAAACAATAGCCAAAAATAAAAGTTTCAATTAAAATTGAAATATACAAACTTTTAGGGAAAAAAATGTCACATTTTTAATCAAAAATATTTTAATAAGTGATTTTCAAATAAAATTTTAATTTTAATTTAATTAATTAATAAAAAATATTAATTAATATCAATAAATTAAAATAACTAGCTATTTTAATGGATTTAAAATTTAATAATTTCGCTTATGAAAATTAATGTAAGATTTGTTCGTTAATTTTAATTTTCAAATGAAACTAGTTAATATTTATTAGTCATTTATTCCCACAAAGAAATTATATTCTTCATAGTGGAAAATAGTTGGTTCTATTCAGTTGAGAAGTGCATTTCAATCTTAAGTTACGTAAACAATTTGTAACAATTATTTAATGTGCATTTAAAACAATTCACGCAAGTAAACTTGAAAAAAATATAATAATTCTTCAGTCATGTCAGAAATTCAACAATTTTACAGTGGTAAAACTGTTTTTATCACAGGTAATGAATTTAAAGAATTTTTTTTAGACGATTACACTTATTATTATTATTTTTTTTTTTTTTTTTTATAATAATTTCAAAAAACAATTTTTTTATCTTAATTCAAATATAGGTGGAACAGGATTTTTGGGAAAAATTCTTATTGAAAAACTACTTCGTTCATGTCCAAACATAAAAGCTATTTACATTTTAGTCAGACAAAAGAAAGGAAAGCAAATTCAAAAACGCCTAAAGGAAATGACCACTTCACTGGTAAAATATATTTTAATATATGAATTTAAAGTGTAATATGCTATGAATAAGATTTATCATTTTCAAATTTGTTTTAATTTTTATTAACTTTGCACCTAGTTATTGTTATAGTATTTATAAAAAAAAGTAATTTTTACTAAAAGTATTAAGTGAATTATTATACTTAATTGTAATTAACAACCAAAGTAACTAATTAATTCGGTTTAACAATTTTTAACAGATGTTTGAACCTTTAAGAGAAATAGATCCAAATTTCGAGAAAAAAATTATACCAATGCCTGGCGATATAATAGAACCTAATTTTGGACTTGCGTCTGCAGATTTAGAGTTAATTAAGAAAGAGGTAAATCCATTTACCAATATATTAAGTAATTAAACTTTCGTCGAATGTAAGTCAGAGAATAATGGTTCTATCATAGGTTATAATTCTATGAAAAGATAAATAAATAAAATTATTTATAGGTTTCAATCATATTTCATGCAGCAGCTACTACAAGATTTGACGAAAAATTAAAAATTGCACTAAAAATAAATGTCGATAGTGTGAAAACTATGATTGACATTTGCAAAGAATGCAATAATTTAAAGGTAAACAAAAATATTTAATATAAATTTTTTCATTAAAATTGGATTTTACAATTATTTACCGGGAATTTGTTTTCAAATATAGTCTTTTGTATACGTATCAACAGCATTTAGTAATTGCATTTATGAGCATGTAGAAGAAAAAGCATATCCAGGGCGCTTATCACATGAAAAACTAACTGAACTTGTTGGTGTCATGGACCAATTAAATATGTCCAAAAAGGAAGAAATCAAATTTACCAAATTGTACGTAAAAAAGAATCAAAATTTTTTTTTTTCAGAAACAGGGTGTCTAACAAAGATTGAGAAAAAAATTCCCTGACTCCTCCCTGAGATTTTTGGATTTTTCCCTGACTTTTTAATAACCTTATTTCTGCTTTTATTTGGACAAAAATATATGATTACTGACATATTTAACAATAAATTAATTTCTAATGGTAGTAACAAATGGTAATAAAAACCAATCAAGTTTTTTTAGATTTAAAAATTTTTAAATTCACAAAAAATTTTAATTTTTGTAGAAATTTACAGAAATTTCCCTGACTTTGAATGAAATTTTCTTAAATTCCCTGACCGTTAGACACCCTGAGAAAGTATCCAAAATTAAAAAATCTGATTATAAATATTTTTCAGGGTGATTGGCAAATTTCCTAATACATATTGTTTTACAAAATCAATTGCAGAGGAACTCGTTAGCAAAAGTGCAAAAGATCTTCCAGTCTCTATTTACAGATTTTCAATTGGTAGTTATATTTAATTTTGTAAAAATAATTAACTCTAATAATCAATTTATCTTTTCCATAGCACTGTCAGCTTTAAGAGAACCTTTAGAGGGTTGGTTGGACGCATCACAAGCACTAACGCAAACAATTGTAAGAATAGGATTAGGTATTATTCGTGTGATATGTGTAAAAAGAAACGAAAATATGGAAACAGTACCTATTGATTTTGCTTGTAATTGTTTAATTGCTTCTGCATGGGAAGCGGCATCTAATAATAATAAGTATGTTGCAAATTTATCTTGTTCTTCAGACATAAACAGGAAAAAGCGCATTTTTAATTTAGGAACAACACTAAAAGAATTATGGATTTGTTTTTATCTTTTGTAAACGTATTAGTAAACAATTAAATCAAAATTTTGCTAATTGTACTTTAACGATTAAAAAACATTATATACGATTTAAATTAAAGTGTCAATACTGCACAGAAAAAGAAATTTATTTGATTCAAATACTCGATTACTTGACTATTATTTATCAAATAAATATTTATTTGTTTCAAATACAAAAATTATTGATTCAAATATAATTTATTTTAATTCAAATAAAAATTATATGGTTCAAGTAAATATTTATTTGATAATAGTCAAGTAATCGAGTATTTAAATCAAATAAATTTTTTTCCCAATGTGTATCGGTTGTACTACAGGTGGTATATAAATTAAGCATTAACATAATCTAGAAACTTGGTTGTCAGAAAATTAAGTAAAATTAGAGAAATTTCACTTTAATTGTTTAATTTAGTCGTTTATTAAAGCAGATTGAAATAAAATTTAAAATACATAATTTATAGTGTTTAATTATTGACTTTTTGGGAATAATTTATAATTTAATAAAATGCAGCCTAATCATGAGATCGACAAACCCCTAACAAGTAAATTTTAATTTCAATTAATTAAAGATTTATATATTTAATTTGATTTTCAGTAAGCAAGATTTGCGGGTATATAACTATGTTTCCGGTACAGATAATCCAGTGTCTTGGGGCTATTTACAAAACTATTTGCAAAGAGAGAGATATAAATTAGCAATTACGAAAACAATTTACTATCCTGATGCTATGATTATTGAATCATTGCGTTTATTCTTCCTTCTACATTACATTTTACATTTTATTCCAGCTGTTTTAGGAGATGCCTTTTTAAGAATATTAAGAAGAAAACCAATGTAAGTGAGAAAATTCCTATACGCTTTCTAATAAATAAAATATAGAAACTGCAAAAAGAACACGAAATCTTGTAATTAATTTGAAAATTATATATTTTTATCCAGGTTTTACAAATTATTTAAGAAAGGTAGTAAACTGGTATTAGTAATAAGATTTTTCACTAATGGAAAATGGTTATTTGACACGGAAAATGTCAAATCATTATGGAGAAAACTTTCAGAGACTGATAAGAAATTATTTAATTTTGATATAACTTCTTTTACTTGGGATGAAATGCTCACAGTTCATTGTTATGGGAGTAAAAAATATCTTTTGAAAATAGATATGAGTGCAGAAGAACAAGAACGAGCTGTTCGTAAAGCAAAAAAGTAAGAATTTTCATATAACTTAAAAATATGCGTATGTTTATTTTAATAATTATCTAAATTAATTCGAAGAAGAATTTTAACTCAATTATTTCATTTGACTATTTTAGATTATTCTATATTCATCAAGTGGTCCGAGCGATATTTTATGTTTTCGTTTTGTGGTTCTTTTCGAAAATTTACTGTCTATTATTTAAATAAATTATAATTATTTATATTTAAACTATATTTCAAATAAATACATATAGCAGTAATTTTGTAAAATTAATTGCTATAATAATAAATATATGAAATAGTTAATGGTATAAATAAATTCATAAAATTTTGCACATTAATTATTCGATACTTCTTTGATTGTGTCTTATAGGTGAAATTTTTGTGTTTCATGAAATTCTCGTGCGTCAATGTGCTTTAGATGAATAATTAATGAATTTGAAAAATCTTAAACTACATTCGCAAAGACAAGAAAATTATTATTGACGAATGAACGCTAATTTATCTATAATTTTTAGAAAAAAAAAATGAAAATTCAGCATCATAGTTTGAAAATTTTTAAAACAATTCTGATGTATAGAATAATATAGATTTATCAAAATTAAAATATTCGGAGCACATTTAAAACCTATTAACAATCAAACAGCATGCATTAAATGTTTGAACTCTTTCAAAGTTCAAAATCATCCATAAACATTTTTTTATGTTCATTCAACGAATGTATATTTGAATCATAATAGATTTTTTTAAATCAAATAACGTAACATTTTTAATAAAACAGTTGAATATTGAAGAAAATAATCTATTATTTTTTTTTATTACAAAATAGAATTACTGTCAAAAAGGATAAAATTTTTTATCGCAAAATATTAAAATCTTTTTTTGAATTGATTTTTTTAAAATCTTTTTGACTTAATAATAATAAATAGATAAATATTCAATAAATCTAAATTATCCATTAATTTAAATTTACCAATTAAAGTGAATTAAAAGTGTTTAAATTATTTTAAAAAATTGTTTCATGTAGAAAAATTATTGAAACGATCGAAAAAGTCGTAAAATGGACGGTATATTCTTCTTATAATAAACGAGAATACAAGTTTTAGATATGTTAACTTATTTTCTAAACTACTTAACAATACATATTTCTAGGACGGCATTGTTCATTGTTCTCACGAACATTAAATAATTATAAATTTGTAAATAAAAAATATAAAAATATGAGAAATAATTCGCAGTAATTACAAATGTAAGATCTATATGTACACAGTTGATTTTTATACACTGAAAATACTATATTATAGATTCTTCAACATTAAAAAAAGTTCTTTAAAAATTAAGGAAATTTTTTTTAAAAATTGAAGAATACTTTTCAAGATTAACACAAGTATATAATTAAAGGAAGTACACAATTCAATGTTATAATGAATTAAAAAAAAAAATCAATTAGTTCATTAATTTACTGTAAGTTTGATACTAAAGTTATGTACTATTATTTTTTGTGTATTCATTAAAACTAGAGATGTGCAAATTGAAAAAATTCCATTCTTTGTACATTTCTAATTAAAACCTTACACATTATAAAAAAAATCTCAACTGCTTTGATCTACAATATGGAAAAATTTGATATTTAAACGACTTATTAGAAATTTTTCAACAATTTTAAAAGTAAATCGTTTAATTGTAAAAATATATTTTAAATTCTTTCTAAACAATATAATAGACATATTATTAGAAATTAAAAAAGAAGCATTCGATTAAAATTTTCAGTTACTAATTAATCAATGGTTCTAAAAATAAAATACATTTTTGTAATTTATCAAGACATTTTTAGAGTCAATCTAATAAAATTTCTTATTAAAATTCAATTTCAAAAATTGAAATATTTTTATAAATTAATTTAAAAGAATATTCATAAAAAATTAAACAAATTTAAAAAATAAAATTTTGAAATATGTTAGTAAACATTTTCTAAATACAGTTAGAATAATTATATAATGAATAAAAATTACTTTTTCGTGAAAATTTACAAAAATTAAAGACATTAAATTTCTCTTTAATTTTTGGTACTAGTGGTAAAATTATACCACTAAAATTATAAAGAAATTTCGAATTTTCAACAATTGAGAAATATTTTCAAACGTGAAAAAATATTTCTTTTACGAATACAAAACAAAATTATAGACATTTATAGTCTTATTAATTTTTGGACGGATTTAAAAGTGCGTTAGTTTTATAAAATATTTTAACAATATATAATTCGAAAAATATCTAATATTATATATGAGATTCTATAATATACACCTGACAAAAATATACTATTGAATTATAGTATATTTTTCTCATTATATACTTTTTGTACTAAAAAAAAAGTTTGGGCTTCAGTCATTATTTTTTTCGAATTAAAAAAAAAAAACATGATACGCACATCTTTAAAGAACACAACGTCGGTCGTTTGATTTCATTCAAAATCTATATATAAATATTTTTTGCAAATAAAAAACCAAGAATAGTTTTTTAAACTTTAGAATCTTAAAATTATTTGTGAATTATTTTCTTTACTTTGTAAAAGAATTGTAGTTGTTTTTTGACTATAGATTTTTTTTTTTTTTTTTAATTTACCGGCATTGTTGATACTGTGCTATGTGGTGTTGTTGGTCGAGAACCAGCAATAGAATGCGTCGTCGATGCATTTAGAGATTGCATTGTGCCAATCTAAGAACAAAAACAAATTTTAATTCCCATTTTATATGATAATAAAAAATAAACATTAATGAAATTATTAAGTATTTTTAATAACTTACTCTCAAATGTGCTAAATCCTCTAATTTAGTCAAATCACTTAGCTCAATATATAAAGAATACACAATCAGCCATCCATAAATTGAAGCAATGGAAAATATTGTCCAAAGAAGGCACATTATTACGTTATAACCAAATATTAAATCGTTAACAACACTGTAAAATATATACATGAGAATACGTAAACCAGTAAATACCAAAAATGACCAAATCCAAGGAATCATTTTTTTCTCATGTTCCTTTCTTAAAGATTTTATCAGAATTATAGATGTTGCAAATATAATGATTGCTCCAATTATTGAAAACATTGCAAATACCAATAATGCATTTCGAACTGTAAAAAGAAAAATATTTATATGTATTGTTAAAAAATATTCTCATAGAATAATATTCTTATATTTTTCATAAATAAAAATTTTACCATGACGATTTCCAACATAAACAAATTCATATGATATAAATCTATAGCCATAATGGGTAACTCCCGGAGTTGCTTGTGACAAACAATAAATATCAAAAATTTGAGTGAAAATAGTAAATATTGAAAGACACTGAAACAGAGAAAGAAAAATATTCAATTAATAAAATTAATACTGAAAAATTATCGAATATATAATTAAAAATTTCAGAAATTAATTCAATGATAATTACCAGTGAGTATATTGCTGTTACCATAGAAGCTCTTTGAATATTTAGAATATATGCATGGGTTAAAACTTTTTTTCGATACCAAGGTATTTTAACACTTCGCACTGATCTTGTTGATCTAAGATTTGCATTACTACGACTTGTTACATGTGAATAAACAGAAGGTGTTCCCATACTGGGCGATTTTTTCCCGTAATTCATTTTGATAAACCTAAAAACATATTTTAATTAACTACAAATATTAATATTAACATTATTAATTACTTTACATAATTATTTTTATAACTATAATATTTATTAATAAAAATAATAATAATTAAAAAAATAATTATATATGGATTTAATTTATTAGAAATTTAAATTAAAAAACAATTTTGCCTATATTGTGTGTAACCATTTAAAAATTAAAATATCCAACAATAACATTAATATCCAAAAATATTTCAATAAAATAAAAATAATAAAGATGATTTCATACAATAAGAATGTAATTACATTTCAAATGTCAATTAAACAAATCATATAAACAATAAACCCTTTCTAATAAAATACAATAAAGATTATTTTTATCCTTACTCTTAGATTAAAATTACTATTTTAAAAACAATTGCAGAAAAACTTCTATTTTATAATTTCTTAGCAAAGTGAAAAACAGTGAATAATTAAAAAAAATTAGAGTGTGTCATGTGTCACACCCACAATCAAATAACGAATTGATTATTATGGAGGTTATCTAAATTTAATACTATAATGTATTACCGTTTTTTCCTGTTTAATTGCGTAACACTTTATTTTAATCAAGTAAATAATTTACATTTATTGTTTTCTTTATAAATAATAAATAAAAAAGAACAATGTTTACTTTTTGACAGCTTATAAACGGGCACACCTAAATCGTTTATTACAATAGACTAAGTGAATACACTAGATGTGCTACAGGTATGTCAGAATTGGACTCTTAATTCTTAAAATGGTCACCAGAGGCAGTAAAATCGTTTCGGAAAATTAAAACTTCTTGTAAAAATTAATTACAAAATTCAATAAAAACTTTAAAAATTATAAATATAAACCTATTTACATACCTTTTTTTTAAAAACTTGCTCTAAAAACACTTTAATTCACTCTTTTTTACAATTCTACTTTTTTAGAATAAAAATTTGCAAAACAAAATGTCTGCATTGCTTTTATTTTTGATAAATATAAAGTTTTGACAAAAAAAAACTGCTAGACTTTTAAATGTCATAGCTTTTTTAAATTCCGAGTTTTGTCAAAAATATAAAAAAAATTTTTATTCTTTTTATAATAATATTTATAATAAATATAATCAATGTTAATAAATAATTATACACTCAGGAAAAAGTTAAAATTTCAAAGAAAACGTACTGACTTTTAATAAACAGCTTTTTTCAATTGTTTTAAATAAATTTATTTTTATTTCAATAGTCAAATATTTTGGTTTATTTCAAAATCTGTTATGAATGTAAAATAATTTGATTAAATAAACCAAATATTTGATTAAATGGACAAAATGTTTATTTTGTTCAATTACATTTTGCTTTGAATTTAACAAACTTTTCCCTGAATATTAAAGTTTAGTAGGTACATATATAGTACAAAAAAAAGTATCAAATAATATTGTTAAAAATATTTTTCTGAAAGAACATAAGAATTAATATTAGTATGAATATAAATGATATTATTAAAAATATTTTCCTGAAAGAACATAAGGATTAATAAAAAAAAGTATATAAAAATATTGTTTCTCACCGCGATGACTCTGAAAACAATGTAAAATTAAGAAAACAACAAATAAAATTCACAAATTAAAAATAGTGACACATAGTGACAAAAAATTAAATTTTAATAATGATCTATTTCCCTACCTATAGCTATATTTAAAAATAATAAATTTTTTCTCTTACATCATCACAATACACACAAGTAAACGAAAAATATCCTACCTAAATCCTATATTTAAAATAAAAACTCCAATCCCCGCGAAACAATCATACAACGTCAGGAACTGTCCATACCGCCCAGGTGCAAATACCTAAACTAGGGATTACGTCCCGGGACGTATCCGTCACCTGAACTTATTCAATAAACACTCACACACACGCATATAATAAAGAAACATTGACAAAAAGTTTAATATTTTTATTAATAAAAATTAATATCAAATATTAAATTTTTGCAATGCTGTCACTATGTTGTCAATACCTTTCCTATTTATAAACCAAAAAAAAGAAAACATTTTTTTACTTTAACAAAATAGATACTTTGTTTTCTTACATTTATTTCCAACAAAATTTATTTAATAATTTATCGATAATTAATCAAAATATTGTTTAGTTAAAAGAATTTTCTATAACCGAATAAGTATTTTTTAATATTGATTTTTAATTTTAAACATTTAATAAATTATGAAATATTAAGTTTTCTTTAAATAGGTGCCCTACAAACAGGAAAGGTGTTAAAATAAAAAGAAAACTCACCGATCGCGGATTCCCACGTTGGAGCGGAGGCTGCTCGGATGTCTGCATTGCCTTCCCTGGAACAGCTACCGAAGATCTCATCCCATCTCATCCAATCTATCCTTCCTCTTCTTCAGTATCTTAGAACTGCCTGAAAAATAAATTTAATAACAGCTATGAGTTTTTCAAAATACTTTCAAATATTTGAAAATTCTTGAAAATATTTAGAAATATATTGAAAAATCAATAGTAAATATTTTTTCTTGCTTTGAAATAATATACTTATAATCATAAATGTTATCTAAACACAAAAATATAAATACAATTAAATAATTAATAAACTTACAATGAACTGCGCTCAGCGATGCCAGATCTCCTCCAGGAGCTGCTCCGCAACATTCTCCTATTTTTCCGAAGAACACACACAAACACTAAATAAACTGATAATTTAACGGCACAAATATTTCACTACACATTTAGGCACGACACTAAAAACACCAATTTTCCATATAACAATTACATACAACAGCCTATATGAACTAACACTTAAATTCATCCGATAACTGAAAACATTTTAAAATAATATTCACGCTAATCTTATAATGCAAAGAATACTTTTGATTGAAAAAAATACCGGCGCCCAACTCGGCGTTCTATAAAATAATTAAGACCACTGAACGAAAAAATACGATTCACAATTTGAGAAAATAACACACTTCGATAAAAAAAAACAACTAATCTTTTATATGCGATGTGACACTCCCGAACAAAAAACCGTTTACACAAATTTGGAATCAAAACTTTTCGTTTACTGAACACATTTCTAAACCACAAAAACTTAAACAATCACTAAAACACAAAAAAGACTGTATATATTTAAAATAAACTTTTTTAACCCGTACCAATAGGATAATAAACTTTGGATTCGTAAGAGTAAAGTGGAGGTTCCCTAGTTAATACATTTAGTATTTATATTAAGTATATACTAATATTTAATAAAAATTTGTAAAATATTAAAGAAAAAACTGCAAAGATTAACCAGGGAATAAAGGTTAGAGTCAGTGAACCGAAAAGGGCAAAAAACGTTATTCGTTTTCCACCGACGCAAAACTTCCTCCACTTATTCACTCTACGAGCTCCTAACTCGTACTGAAGCGCGCCATAGTGTAGCCGCTCTTGCCTTCCTTCATACTGAGCCTGATTGGCCGAGCGCTAGGCCAATGAGCGAGCGCGCTAGACTGCCTGTGTAGGGGGGGATAAATGCGCGCGCCTCCTACGGAGTAGAGGTGAAACATAATCGATTATCTCGATTATAATTACGTAAAAACGTATGTTCCGTTAAAATTGGTAAATAAATTGACTTTCGATTAGAGCGCTCAACTTGTAGTGGCCATTTTAAGAAACAATCATCTCTCTAAAAAGCTAGTCCTTAATTTACTTTCTGTAATATTGATGTTTCATTCTTTTGATTCTGTTTATACAATTTTATACGACTGTTTCACTGTTGTGTGATGCTTGTTGAAGTGGTGGGTTTTTATAAAAATAATATATAAAGAAATGTGTGTTTAAAAATTAATTAAATATGGAAATAGACGAAGTAGCAAAATTAGAGCATTTGTCTCTTGTATCAAAAATATGTACAGAATTAGAAAATCATTTAGGAGTAAACGATAAAGATTTAGGTAAGTTTACAGTTCATAACCTCATATTCATTAATTATACGTTTTCTTTTACTTCTTCTTTTTTTTTATTAACAAATATTTTCCATAGTAATATTTAATATAATAAGATATTTATTTTATTTAACTTGCTTAGTAATATTAAAAATTATTTTTGAAAACAATATTTAATTGTAATTTTAAGTGATTTACTTTTGACGTAATAACGCGTGTAAAAGTTACATATTTTACATTAATAAATTAACAAATGCTTTAAATGTTAATTAATTAATTTAAAGTATAATTATATTTTATTTATTGCCAAAATTTTTTTCTATAATTTTTATGAAAAAAGTACTTTTACAAAAATAAACCTTATTCTTTTTTTTTAATTTCAGCTGAATTTATAATTCATTTATCAGAAAAAAATGGTACCTTCGAAAACTTTAAAAGAGTATTAATTGAAAATGGAGCGGAATTTTCTGTGAGTATTTTATAAACATTTTATAATTATCTAATTTTAAAAAAACAACTATTTTTAATAATTAAAAATTTATAATTTTTAGGATTCTTTTGTTCAAAATCTCTTGAGAATTATAAAACACATGAAACCAATACCTACACAAGCATCACCACCAGCAACGTCAAAAAAAGATGAATTATCAACAAAATTTCCCGCATTAGCTCTACCAAATGAAAGACAAGATAAAAAATTAGCTAATGACGATGATATTATTAATGAAGCAATGGCCTCGTTAGAAGCCTTTGCACCATCCAGCTTGAAGACTAATAGTAATGAATCAAATGAAATTAAACACGAAAGAAAAAGAAGTCATTCACGTGACCTTCATAGAAATAGATCAAGATCACCTCATCAAAGGCATAAGAGACATAAAGGTAGATCTCGTTCTCGACATCGTTCAAGATCAAATTCACGTTCTCGACGTCGTTCAAATTCCCGTTCACGCAGGCGCTCCAGATCACGGGATCATAAACGTGAAAATACATCTCGAGACAGAAGAAGATACAGATCACGAGAACGTAAACGATCACGGTCTGGTACCAGAAAATCAAGAGTCGACGATCGTAAAGATTCAAGACGTACGCGAAAGGAAAGCGAAAGATCAAGATCACGTTCCACTGAGGAATTGTCAATTGATCCTGAAATTGGTAAAATTTATCCTGGTAAAGTGGCGAATATTGTGCCATTTGGTTGTTTCGTTCAACTTGAATCATTAAAACGTCGATGGGAGGGTCTTGTTCATATTTCACAATTACGAAGAGAAGGTCGCGTTGCAAGTGCAAGTGATGTTGTTTCACGTGGACAAAAAGTTCTCGTTAAAGTTCTCAGTATAAGCGGTCAAAAAGTTTCATTGAGTATGAAGGATGTCGATCAAGAAACAGGACGTGATCTCAATCCAGTTATAAATGTAACAAGAACCGAGGAGGATGAGAAACATTTGAGGAATCCTGATCGTCCAACGTCATTATTGGAACTTCAAGCAAATGACGATGAGGACGAGACATATTCTAGGAAACGAGTACAAAGACTATCATCGCCTGAGAAATGGGAAATTAAACAAATGCTTGCAGCGAATTGTATAGATAGGTAAATTATTTAATTAATATTTAATTATTTATTAATAATTATATTGAATAATAAATTAATTAATGATTGGTAAATTTATAGGAGTGAACTACCAGAATTTGACATGGAAACGGGACTTTTACCACGTGACGATGATGAAGATGAGGACATAGAAATAGAATTAGTAGAAGAGGAACCTCCCTTTTTACAAGGACATGGCAGAAGTTTGGGAGACTTGAGTCCAGTGAGAATTGTCAAAAATCCTGATGGGTCATTAGCTCAAGCTGCGATGATGCAAAGTGCATTAGCAAAAGAAAGAAGGGAACAAAAAATGCTGCAAAGAGAACAAGAAATAGATTCAGCACCAACGGGAAGTCATAAAAATTGGATTGATCCCTTGCCAGATGGTAAAAAAAAATCAATATTGTCTCTTATTTTTAAATAATTTAAATTCAAATAGAATTTAATTATTTGACAAATTAAATTTTTTATTATTAGATTACATTTTTGTAGTACTAGTTTTAATAAACTTTTTTAATTTTTAGTTGAAAGTCGTTCGATGGCAGCGAATGCTCGAGGCATTGGTCTTCAAACGCAAGATTTACCTGAATGGAAGAAGCACGTAATTGGCGGTAAAAAATCATCATTTGGAAAGAAAACGAATTTAACACTTTTAGAGCAACGTCAATCATTGCCAATTTATAAATTACGAGACGATTTAGTTAAGGCCGTTACCGATAATCAAATTCTCATAGTTATTGGAGAAACTGGTTCGGGAAAAACAACGCAAATAACACAATATTTAGCAGAAGCTGGTTTCACATCTCGGGGAAAAATTGGCTGCACACAACCAAGGTATTTCTATAATATAATTAAATGACTATTTCTGTTTTTAAAATAAATTATATAACAAAAATTTTAATAATTTGTTTTATTTTCAATAAAGGCGTATAGCAGCTGTTTCAGTAGCAAAAAGAGTGGCTGAAGAATTTGGTTGTCGTATGGGTCAGGAAGTTGGTTATACAATTCGATTTGAAGATTGCACTGGTCCAGAAACGAAAATAAAATACATGACAGACGGTATGTTATTACGAGAATGTCTCATGGACCTTGATTTAAAAACATATTCCGTTATTATGTTGGATGAGGCTCATGAGAGAACAATTCATACCGATGTTTTATTTGGACTTTTAAAACAAGCTGTAGGCCGAAGACCAGAATTAAAACTTATTGTTACCAGCGCTACTTTGGATGCTGTGAAATTTTCTCAATATTTCTTTGAGGCGCCAATTTTTACCATTCCAGGCAGAACTTTTGATGTTGAGGTGAATTTTTTAATAATTAATTTTCTAATTAAATAATTTTTATTGTTCTATTTTTAAATTTATAAAAATTATTTCAGATTATGTACACAAAGGAGGCTGAGACTGATTATTTAGACGCATCATTAATAACAGTTATGCAAATACATTTACGTGAGCCACCAGGCGATATTCTTCTATTTTTAACTGGTCAAGAGGAGATTGATACTGCTTGTGAAATTCTTTATGAGCGAATGAAATCATTGGGCAAAGATGTACCTGAATTAATTATTTTACCCGTTTATTCAGCATTACCATCAGAAATGCAGACAAGAATTTTTGAGCCTGCACCACCTGGTTCACGTAAAGTTGTTATTGCGACAAATATTGCCGAGACAAGTTTAACTGTCGATGGAATTTATTATGTTGTTGATCCTGGATTTGTGAAGCAAAAAGTCTATAATTCTAAAACTGGAATGGACAGTCTTAATGTAACACCAATTAGTCAAGCGGCAGCAAAACAACGTGCAGGCAGAGCCGGAAGAACTGGCCCTGGAAAATGTTATCGTTTATATACAGAAAGAGCTTATAGAGATGAAATGTTACCGACACCAGTGCCGGAAATTCAACGTACAAATCTTGCTACAACTGTTTTACAATTAAAAACAATGGGTATTAATGATTTGCTTCATTTTGATTTTATGGATGCACCGCCAGTTGAATCGCTTATAATGGCATTGGAATCATTGCACAGTTTAAGTGCACTTGATAATGAGGGACTTTTAACGAGATTGGGTAGGCGAATGGCTGAATTTCCCTTGGAACCAAATTTATCAAAAATGTTAATCATGAGCGTTCATTTACAATGTTCTGAAGAAATTTTAACAATTGTCAGTATGTTGTCTGTACAAAATGTTTTTTACAGGTGTGTATTTATAAATTAATTAATTTCATTATTATTTTAAATATTTTCTTATTATAATCATCTAAAATATAATTCATGTCTATTAATAATGGAAAAATTATTTTTTAGGCCAAAAGATAAGCAAGCGTTAGCTGATCAGAAAAAAGCAAAATTTAATCAGGCTGAAGGAGATCACTTAACTCTATTAGCGGTTTATAATTCATGGAGAAACAATAAATTTAGTAATGCGTGGTGTTATGAAAATTTCGTACAAATACGAACACTTAAACGTGCACAAGATGTGCGTAAACAACTTTTAGGAATTATGGATAGGCATAAATTAGACGTCGTCTCAGCAAGTAAAAATACGGTTCGAGTTCAAAAGGCTATTTGTTCTGGATTCTTTAGAAATGCTGCGAAAAAAGATCCACAAGAGGGATATAGAACTTTAGTCGATAGCCAAGTCGTTTACATTCATCCTAGCAGTGCTCTGTTCAACAGACAACCAGAATGGGTACGTAAAATAAATTTATTTGTTATCTAAAAAATAAGAACAATTTTATTTCTTTATTTGATAAAACAAATTAATTATTTTATTAATAATTGGAGAACTTTTTAATTTACAGGTAATTTATCATGAATTAGTTCAAACGACAAAAGAATATATGCGTGAGGTCACAACAATTGATCCAAAATGGCTAGTGGAATATGCGCCGGCATTTTTTAAATTTAGCGATCCAGCGAAATTAAGTAAATTTAAGAAGAACCAGAGACTTGAACCATTATATAATAAATACGAAGAACCGAATGCCTGGAGAATATCAAGAGTACGACGTCGACGTAATTAAGCATTTAATTTCTAAACATATATATATATATATATATTTAAATATATATTTGTTAATTTTAAATTATTACTGAAAATAATTTCTGTAAATGTACATATTAATTAATTGTAGCGAATACAATACATTATCATTGAAATTTAAATGCGACCAATCATATTTCTAATTTAATTCAATATTCTGTAATTTCTTTTTGTATAAACAAAAAGTGGCACGTTTGCCTATAAAATGTGTGTTTTTTTATTACCTACAATAATTAATGATTAATATTATTATTTATTATTTTAAAATTTAAGAATTTTAATTTAAAATCAATTAAAACAAAATACTAATATTTTTTTTATTTATATATAATAGTAATATAAAATTACAATTTTTAAAATTGTTTTTATATTTTTAATTAAATATATTCTTACTTCATTTAATTTAATTAATTAATTATATTAATTAAATTCATATTATAATTATTTAAAAAAAATAAATACTGATCTTTATAATTTAATATAATTTGTATTAGATTAATTAATAATCCTGTTTTTTAAATTATTGAAAATACATAAAATTAAATTAAAATTATTAAATTACACTAAAATTATTATTTATTTAATGAAAATAAATAAATCATAATAATAAAATTAGTAATACTAAATAATAAACGTTATTATTAATAGACTAAATTTGTATTATTATTATTATTACTAAATAATTGTTTTAAAAATTATAATAATATTAAAATTTTAAGTTTTTTATTATATTATATATATTTTACATTAATATATGTAATTAATAATATATATTATATTAGTTAGTAGATAATTAATTACAGAATTACTTTTATTATCATTAATCTTAAAAATAAAATACAATAATAAAATTCTAATATTTGAAAAAAAAGTTATTCGCGCCCTTTTTGTTGTTGGTAAAATCTGTCCAATCAGGTGATCCTAATTTTAAAGTTGTGAAGTGAACCGGAAATGTTCAATTATTGCGTACTCTTATTGGTTGGAAAAATGGAGAAGAAAGCGCTGATTGGCTGCTAGAATGCGTGCACAGCAAATTGCTACCTCCCCCACTTCCCCCAACTTTCTTCTTGTCGATGAGCGCCAACGGTCTCTACATTTCGTGTTTTGTCGTCAATAGAGTAGGAAGTGTTGTAAATATTTGCAGATTAATCGTTAATTTAGTTAATTTTTTGTTATTTCGGTCGAATGAACGTTGAAATATTAGTTTTTTCCTATCGAGAATAAAGATTAAAAATTGCTACGTTTTACAATATTTTTTCAGTATTGGCGTTTGGATAGGTTATGTATACACCGGCCGGTGGAATGTAGCGAGTGATTTTTTTTGTCTCCAATTACTCAAAACGGAAGTATTTTCGGGAATACAGATGAAATATTGTTCACGAAAAGTTTTCTCGTATTGATTTAATAGTTTTTGTCTCGCAAAAATCATGGGTCATTTGGATGCATATAATGGCGGCCATTTTGTTTCGATTATGGGGATCGTACGCCATACATTTTGCAATGGGGGTTTTTGCACGGTTCGCGTAGATTATTATAGTCTTGGAAAAGTATTCTTGTGTCAATTTGTTAATTTTATTTAGTAGAAAATGTTTTCGTCTCGTTTATTGCTGTTCGCGTGGGAATTATTCTCGTACGTATCGAAAATTGTGTAGGTATTATCGTGTTCCGATTTTTAGTTTGTTTCGCGAAAATTTTTTCATCGGTTAAAATTCGTCAAAGGGGCCATCTATAAACAACATTACTATTAAAGGGGGGGGGGTTAAGCTATTTAGGTATTACGATAAAAGAAAAAATGGCGCTAATATTTGGGTCAGTCCATTACAGGGGGATGGGGGGGGGGAAGTTAACTTTTCTAAATAATACACGCGATATTTTTTCAATTTTCTATAAAAAGTCATAAAAATTCGGTAAAGTGTTCAGTGTGTCGAAAAATATGTTCCAGTTGTATTTGTATTATTTGCATTGTTACACCTCCATGTTCGAGGTGATTAACCTCGTTTTTGTGAGTATAATTAAATCTAATTTTTATTTTACTTTGTACTTTTAACAAGTTTAAACTCATTTAAAAAATAATATATTGAATATCTCATTTGTTCTTTATATTTACATGATCATTAATATATTGTAGATTATGAGAATTTAATTATTATTTTTTTCCTCAGCTTTTGATGATGACGATTATAAAGAATACTGCGAGGGATTTTCTGTAGGATCAAGGTCACCTCTTTCACGCCTTCAATAATCCTTTGATGAAGGATTTTCCAATGGAAACCATCACCCCCCGTTTGCAGCACTTCTTCGACCGGTGAGTTATTCATTCAATTTTTTAAGCAACATAGTGACAACACTGATGTAATTAAAAAAAATATATAAGTGTGTACATTTTTATTGTTTTATTTAACATTTAATGAAACATTCTTCTGCATAATAAGAGCAAATTTTTTCTCAGAAGAAAAATTCCATTATTTACATCAGTGTCATATATTCTCATGATACATTGTGTTTATATTATACAGTTTGGTTATATTATTTTCATCTTCTCATTTTATTATAAATTTTATTTTCACTTTAAAAAAATCAATTAATTTGAATTCAAATAAAATAAATTAAATTAGTAAATTAAGTAATAAAGAAAATTAATCAATTAAATTTTTTTATTTAAAGATAATTATTAAATCAAGATAAATGCTCATAATTAATAATTAAAAATACAAATAAATTTTTTATAACATTTTTTATTTGAAAACAAATGCCTAACTGTATATAAGTTGTTTTTTTTATTCGTACGAATGAGTTTGTTTAAAATTTTTGGGCTCGTGTAAGGTTTTTCTAATATATTAGGTAGGCAGGTAATTTTTTATTTTTGGTGTGAATGAATTTATTGAAGAATATTTGTGCATTTTTTTCTGTTTATTATGTCACTATGTTGTTTTTTTATGTTATTTAATATATATTTATCAAATTTATATTTCTTTGCATTTTATTGTCTTTTATTTCAAAAAATATTGGAATTTTTTTTTTTTAATTTAACATTTATTGAAACTTTAAAAAGTTATTTTATAAATTTTTAAAAAAAGTTTAGAACAAACTTTTTTTTAGAATTTTTTCTTAACTTTTTAAAAGTTTCCCATTATATTAAAATACTATTTTTTTTAACTTTATTCAACCGAAATTAATTTCTGATATACTTGAAAAAAATGTATATAAATATTTCCTCTAATTTTTTTTTACATTTGAATATTCGTGCGAAAATCAAATACCAATCAGCAATCCACTTTAGCGCATGTGCACCGAGCACAAATTTACCACGTGACCACGTGTTTTTTTTTCTAAGGTTTGAGGTTAGATTTTTCAATGTGAGAATTTACGAATTTTTAAACAATTATTGTGTAATAATGAAGAAACAAACTGAAAATAGTGATAAAAAACAAAATCGGGGGAAATCATCTCGACAGAAGAAAATTAATTTAGTATTTGACGAAGAAAAACGAAGGTATAAATAAAAAATAATTACAAATATATAAACATGAATTCAACCAAGTCTCATTATGACTATATAATAAATTTTAATTTTGAAGACAGTTCCTTGGTGGTTTCCGCAAAAGAAAATTACAACGACAAAAAAAGGCACAAGAAGAATTGCAGCAACAATTAAAAGAAGAAAAAAAGAGAATAAAGAAAAATGTACGTTGTTTTTAGAGAACATATAATTTAGGTTATGTTGCACATGAAATTTAGACTACAATAACAATAATAATTACAATTAATTTAATATAATTTATTTGCACAATTTTTGTATAAATAACAAATATTAGAGATTCTTTAAATAATACTATAATTTCAATGTAAAGTTAAATTTATACGAAAGTTTTAATTATTTTTTTTTTAATTCAAGAACTTTGAAAATAAATTGAAATTTACCATTTCTTTTTTCACTTTTATTGTTTAAAATTTCAAGTGCAACAATATTTATCAAATTGTTAAATATCAATTATTTTCTTTTATTAATAGGCTAAAGATAGTTATAAAAAGTGGATTTCTTATCGTGCTGTACCAGAATTAGAGGAACTTTTAGCAAAAAAAGAATATGAAGAGGAAGGACATACAGTCAGCATTTTAGAATTAAATGTCGCAGATTTAGAACAACAGAGCAGTTTAATTGGAGAGAATGTAGTCAAATATGATGATGACAATGATAATGACAATGAAGATAATGAAGCAAGTGATGATAATTTTAATAGTAATGAAGTTCCTGGTATGGAAATTATAAGGAAACCATTAAAAAAACAAAAAATAGAAAAAGAATTGCCAGAGAAAAAACCATCCGAGTCTGGTAAAAATATTAAAAAAGCAATAAAACGAATTGCAACGAAGGAAGTACAAAAGAGCCGGGCATTTCAGCAAAAACAAAAAATTGAGCATTTAAAAAATAAAAAGAAAATGAGACAAAAAATCAAGAATCAGAAGAAATTAAAAAAGAAGGATAGCCGAAATAAACGAAGCGCGTAATTTTTATTCTAATTTAAGAAACTTGAAAAATATTTTTATAAAATATTTTGTAAATAAATACAATATCTAAGAATTATTGCAATTTTAATTACAAAAATAGAAATTAAAATTTGTAAGCAAAATTTACTTAAACTTGAATTATAATGATTAAATATTTTTTAAAGTTATATAAAATGGTTTAATTTGAAAAAACATTTGTTTTAATGTTTTTTTTTTTTTTGTAAATTTAAAACCACTTTTATTTCTTCTATTAATTTACATACAAGTGTAATTAGAAAATGAAATAAATATTTCTACTTTAATTTCTTTGAATTTTGTAATATTTTTAAAACTTTTTAATCTTTAATTAATTAAAATTAAAAATTAATTGAATACAAATTTTAATTTTTTGAAAAAATTTAAATTACTAAAAAAAAGGAATGGGATTAATAAACTGGATGTTTTTTTTTAAAGGAATATATATTTAATGAATATATATTCGTTATATACTTAATATACATATGTACAACTTAACAGACATTGATTATAAGAATAGAGATAATCATTACACGACACGAAGACACATTTGTTTCCACTCTTTCGCGATTAGCGGGTTTGTTTTTTTTTAGACAGAAAAATAAAATATATATATATTTTTTTCACATGCATTCCTCTTTGCATGTCTCGCAGTGCATATAATAGAATTTTAAACATCTTTTTATATTTAACGCAGTGGAATAAAAATCTATACATTCATTGTGTTGTCACTGTTCTTACAGTGTGACTAGCATTATGTTAAAATACATCTATTCGATATAGGTTATTATGCGCAGGTCATTGATTTTTTTTGGGCTCCAATTTTTTTTTCTTTTTTTTTTTTAAATATGGTCCCTGTAAATTTTTGCAGGTAACTTGAATTAACTGGTACTTAACACTTCGAACACATTAAGAGCCGATTACGTCATTTATTATTTATATATAACATAATTCAGGTAACTGCATAGACATCAATTTTCGTCACTCGATGCCTACAAACTCGTGTTTTAATATCCCTCCTTAACATCAAATATTTACAAGGGTTACGAGTTTTTTTGTTTTTAAATTATAAATTTCTTTTTTTTTCTTTCACATTCGCACACACACACACTTTTTTTTTCTAAAAAACTAATTATTTCTTTTTCTTGAAATAACTTGCACTCTCGAATTTTTAAATTTTTATGAAATACACAGAATGTTTTAAGCGTTTTCTTTCTCACGATGAAATACTATATAATTATACATTAATGTTTTCTTTTCTTTTCTTTTTTTTTCAGAACAACAATAATTAGATAAGTCTCTATACATTTGATATTTTTTCTATTCATGCATAATATTTTTGTTTTTTTTTAACGTTTCTTAATACTAAAACGAATTACGAGATACTTTTCTATAATAAAAATTAGCTTTGGTCCGAAAGTAAAGTATAAAAGTCATCAAATTGATTTTATAAAATCATGATTTCTTAATTAAATTAACATTTTTTTTTTTGCCTCTTTTATGAGGCAATTAAAAAAGTCCGGCTTTATTTAAATAGCCTTTTTTTTGTCATATATACTGCTCAAAATTCAAGTACTTATTATCGCTTTTTTTATTTGTCGTTCAAAAATTCTTCGAGATTTGGAATGAAAGCAATTTTATTATTATTCTTATTATTATTATTGTTAGACAATTAAACACAAATTAATGTGTATTTATTGGTTTGCCAGGCCCATCTCTATAGAAATGAATTCATTTTCATTTCTATATTCGTAAAAATGCCCATGAAGTTCTTCTTCGCGTATATTCAAGATCTTTTTTGATCTTCATATTTTTCTGTTAGAAAATTTTTCACGCATTTAGATTGAAGTCGTTTGTATGCTTCCGTGCAACAATAAATGTTGCACGGAATCCCTATCTCAAACTTTACTCTCTGGACCATCCGTCGTGTGTTTGAAGGAATTGCGAATTTTACTCAGATGAAGAGCAGTAATGTGTCCATAAGTTTTGTTGTACCATTCAGGAGTTCTTCCTCTGTAAATTTTAAATACAATTAAATTAATAATAATAAATTTAATTAATATAACACTAAAAATTAAATTATTAAATTAAATTAAAAATCGAACATACTTTGTATCAACTCTGGATAGATGCATAATGCGAGATTTGCCACTTCCACAAGGTTCAATTAAATATCGAGATGCTAAAACAATGCCTCGCGTTCCTCCAAATGTGATAGGAGCATTTGGATGCTCGACGGATGTTTCGACAATTACACAAGCACCTTTAGGTAAATCATTTCGCCATGATCTGTAAAAACAGAATTTTTACTTATATTTTTTTTTGTTTCGAGAAAAATTTTTCGTTTTCGATAATATATTTTAAAAATAGATTTTACCTTAAAACACAATAATCTCTGACTGGCAATGGAGGACTCATATTTCCAGTGACATACTGAAAAATCTCGACGTTTGTGTCTAATTTACTGATTAGTTGATATTTAATTAATTGATGATCCCAAATGTCTCGTTCTCTTAAAACTCGATTCAATAATTCATTGGGTGGTGCTTCCACATCAGTGGAAACTCGCCAAAGACGAAGGGGATGTCCATCTCCGACTTTTTTGTAAGCAACTTCGACACTAGAATCAGCTGGATTATTAACTGTCACCCATCCACGGCTTCTAAAATTAATTATTAATTAATTTAATTAGTGTTAATTAATTTCATAATATTTTCTTTTGATTTATAAATATTTTATTTTGTTGATAGTTACTTTTCTCGTGCTTCTTTCAATAAGGCGGTCGTACAGGCATTTAAATAGCCCCTCCAATCTTGTTTCAATTCTGATCCAAGTTCCTCCAAACCCACGGGAATGCTTTCCTCCATATAATTAAAATGACATTGAGTCAACATATCTGATGACACCTTTAAGTAAATAAAATGATTAGTAAGGAAAAAGTTGAAATTAAATATTTTTTTTTAATAATTAATTTCTATTTTTACCATAAAGAGTTCGCGATGACTTTTCACAAGATATAAAAGACAATCATGCGCTGCTTTGTTTTCGGAGAGTTCTCTTTGATCAGGAGTGCCGACGGTTTTTCTTCTTCGTGGCGAGACACTATTTGACCTATTAGTCACATTGGCATTATGATTGAAGTGGAATAAACTCGGCGCTAAGCATACTGACAAATTGGAAGCAGTCATTTGATTGTAGGGCGAATTACTCGCGACAATATTGAGAAAGTCGAGAAGAAATTCCAATGCTTCTCGATGCTCGTCTGGCAATAGTAGCAGGACGCATTGAACTGCATCGGGACGTAGTTCAACTGGAACGTCTGTAAAAAATAATTAGGTTTAATCATCAGCTAAATGATATTTGTAAAATAGAAATTATTGAATTTTTATACTCACGTTGGAAAATAGCGATAAATGTCTCGGATAGTTTATTAGTGAGTAATGCTTCAGGTAATTCTCTAAAATATTGTTTAACTAAATCGGCAACATCGTAAGCCTGTTGTCCATCAAAATTGATATTGTCACCCTGTGTCTCGGTCATGACTTTTAGTTTTTGGATTCTAGATCTTACTCCACTTTTTCGAAACAGTCCCACCTGATCGAGAGCATTTGTCTTGAGCCATTTTAAAGCAATTTGAATACATTTTGGCAGAGCTTGACCTGTTCTTTGCAATGATAGTAACAAGGGAACACCAAAAACTGTTTTGTCTTTATAATCAGGCGATTTGATTTTTCTAATGAATTTCGGTAATTCCCAATTCCAACCTGTTCTATGAGTGGGACAATATCGTTCCATACAGGCGGTTAGCTTTAAAAGTGCCAATTTCCTCAGTACCAATAGTTGACCACATGACATTGATGCCATCGCTCGACGACAAAGTGGATCCAATGCTTCAGGATTAAGAGAACCTCTTTGAAAGCTATGCCACCTAACGACTGTACTCTTGTGCTTTGGCGAATCTTCTTCTTGATCCGAATCCTTACTCGCTGCTGTCGAACTACTTTCTTGACTACCCGCTAAATCGGAATTTTTACTTCTTGATTTTTCCCGATAAACTGTAATCTCCTTGGATGGTGATCTATCGTCCCTGTAAATATCTTCACGTCCATGTCTAAAACTTTTGTGAAATTTATCCTCACGTTTCAATGATGTAACCTTCTCTTGATTAATCGATGAATCCCTAAATTTGGATTCTTTACTAGCGTGTAAACTACCACCGCGATTAATAATTGTTCCCGATCTTGTTGGCGATTCCTTTGGACTTTGTGAGACACATTCTAGAACTTTTGTATGATTACTATTAGCATCCTTAAAGTACCTTTGCCTCCAGCTTGTTGGCTGACATTCGGAATCACTAAGAGCACCCTGATCTTCACGGCCACGATTTAGAAATTTTCGTGCACGATTCATTTTCGTACGCGTGGGTGTTGGTGTTGGTCCTCCGCCTTGTGAACCATCGGAACAATAACTTGACGAGTCATCACCAAATAAACTTGGTGCATTAGTCATTGGTGATGGTGGAAGATGATTAGGTGATGCTGGCAAGGTGAGTGGCGATGCTGGTAAATGAAATGGCGTCGATGGCAATAGAAGATCATTGAATGATAATGGTGCTGAACCTGTTGGCGAGACATCAACGCAATTTAAATCCTTCATTTTTTGTTGCATTGATATAACATCAAGGACCTGTGGTCCACTAATAACAACGCCATCGCGATTTTGTCGTTTTCTTCGACGTGATTTTAATGATTCGACACGTCGTAAAAATGCTTTTGCACCATCTTTAATGCGTTCGGAACCAGTGCGACGAAAACGTTGACCAATATCATCGGGCGTTGTACCTGGAGGAAGACTGGAATATCTAAAATTATCTAATTGATCCTCAGCTTCTTCAACTTCAAGACGTTCTTCAATTGATTCCTCTTCGGATGGTATATTTTGACTTGCGATTGTTTGCAATTTTTCAAGATTCGTTTGTGTCACATCACATACACGCGACCATCTTCTTGTTTTCTTTTCAAACATCCAATTCTCGCTTAATGCACACTGTGTTTCCTCATCAGAATCATCGCCTCCTCCTCCCTGCAAAATAAAAATTTTTTTTTGTTAAATCTCAAATAATACTAATGTTTTAGAAGAATTTTTGATTCAAAAGTTTTCTGGATCATTTAGAAAATTATTTTTCCTAAAATGGGTAAAGGTTCGTTTGACCTATTTGTCATGTTAAATCCTGACTTTCTAAGTCCAAGTTCGTTACGAAACTTGACGCCTTTGTTATATATGGAAAATAAATGCATGCGGTCTGCGACCCATATGACCTGACCCCACAGCGACAATGGATCTTGTTTCACCATAGTATACCACGCCTGGGATCTTTCCTGGTCCAGAGAATCGTGCCTTTTTACGTTTGTAGGTTTATGACTACGAAACGATGGCTATAAATAATAAAGTTGACGTTTTTTCTTTCTCTCTTTTTTTATCTCGACAACCACTTGCCGTATCGTTACCGCGCTTGATTAAAAGAGGCACATACGAGAAAATCTCGCGCGCGAAAAAGTGGGACAGTTAAATATAATATGATTGGGAAGTTGTGCGCCGTGGGACAAAAAGAAGAAGAAGAAGAAGAAGAGAAAGAAGTAACACTTGAGGTGCGGTGGCATTGCCTGAGACACAAACCTCAACTCAAAAATATCATCTTGCCCACGCTTCTTGAAATAGATTTTTGAAATTAGGTGCACTTTTCCGATTACCTAACCCTGCACTGTCATGACCCCCACCCCCTCCCCCGCAAACGATGTAAGATTCTCTCGATTTTCGACATTTCTCGCTAACTTAAAATGAGAGCATCTCTGACGTCCAGAATATTACTTTCATCCTGGGGTATATGTGAATTGAATCTGGTCCACGAAATAAAAAATTTATCCATTTAACTTTTGTACAACCTCCCTCTTTAAAGTAATTTATCTTTTATGTGGTGGGAGAAAAAAAGTATATAAATTTTGCGAACAAAAATAAGAGAGAGAGAGTGGAAATTTTATATTTATTTTTTCTCGAAATCAGAAATTCGCGAAACATTTTTTATTTTTAGAAAAATTTTAAATTATTTTCTATTTATTTTTACGATTTGTATTAATATATGAGAAGGTATTATTTTATATAAAAGAAGAGAAGATTAATATTTTATGAATATGTTTTCTCCAAAAATTAAAAGATAAAATTACTTTTGACATTTCACATTAGAAGATCATAAAATAATAATGAGGTTACAAAATATGAAAAATGTGTGTTATCTGATTTTTACAAGATCCGGTGAAATGTCATAATGTTTGAGGTGTTTCTTTTTTTTTAGAAAAAAAATTTTATATACATTATTCAATCAGACACTATATATTATGGTATTTCATCAAGGAAATTATAAATTTTTAAACTCTGATTTCATAGTAGCTTTCGTAACTATATATATGACATTTTCGAAGTCACGGAAGTAGCTTCTTATATTATAGAAAGTTACATTAACTATATATATATAGTGTTCCGAATCCAAAGGGGGCAGTACTTCAGTGGCAATATGGTTTGCCATCTTAGGACTAATCTCATACTGATCCCGTGATTTAGAGTCACTGTCACGACTCGATAATAATCTCCATTTCTACATTATTATCCATAGAATTTTTTTCCCGCTGTGAATTTTTTTAACTGAATAGAAGTCTTCTTTAAAAACGTTGACGTAGTTTTTAAAATTATAATATAAAAACGATCTGAACCTAGAAAATTTGCTCATATCTTTTTTTAGTGGATTTGAAGAAACGTCTATTCTCGTCTGGTTTATTATTAACTTCTAAATGAAAATCAATTCATTAATATATTTCTTTTTTTCTGAATATAAAGCCGAGACTTTTTGTTAAATATATATATTAATTTGTCTTTTTCTTCTCGTTCTCGTTCTCTAAAACAGGAAATAAATATTCATTTTCCGAAAACTTGATTATTTAAAAAAAAGCAAGGCGGTGATTTCTTTGAAATTTTGAAGACAATATCATTGTATATTGTTTATTTTTACTCTCTTTGATGTTTTTTAATGGAATGAAAATAGATTTTCTTTTTTAAAAATAAAATCAATTTCCCTTTTTTAACAGACATTTTAGTCAGCATTTTACACAGACAATTATTATCGAGCTTGCCAGTTAACTTTTATCTACATTTCCGTTCCGCTGCTATTACTACAACGTGATGATGATTATTCTCATGCCCATGGAGTTATTTTGAAACTTATTCGATGTTCAACGAGCCATGTCACCCGTACTTTTCATACCTACTGCGTTCGTCATTTCCGTCACCGCACACGTTAAACAAACTACCATTTTACAAATAATTATAAAACAAATTATTTCTCAGAAAAGTGTCACTCTAAAATTTATTTATGCACAAAATTTTAGTTTGCACATAAGAAACTTTGTTAAGTTACTTTCAATTAAAATTATTAAATTTCTAATATTTTGTATTATTTATAAATTAAAATCGCTCAAAATGAAATTTAAAACAAAATTGATTAATTTTAATTATTAATTAAAATTAATTGATCAAGAAGAGTAATATATTTATTTAAAGAGAACATTTTATTTTGCTTAATCATTCTCGTGGATTCGTTAAAACTTTTTCTAATTTAAAAAATTACTATTTTCATCAAGTAAATTAAAGTTTATATATATATATAATTCATTATATAATAACTATAAAGTAATTTGAGTTTCTCTCACAAAATGGGTATATTTAGCGAATTTCATTTGAAAAAAAGAAAATCTTTGGGAATATAATAATAAAAGTCACGCGATTTAAAAAAAAAATTATATATATATATATTATTATAAAAGAAAAACTTTCTCTAGAAAGGTGTCAAACGTGGTTTTTATATATAACCTAATTATTAATTTTTTTTTCTTTCTTTTTTTTTTTGATGCTGTGACGACCCACATTGTACATATATACATGACAGAGGAAACCGCAAATTAGCCGAATCTTTTTAATTTTACGGTATCACATCACACAAACTTCACCCTTTAAAGGCTCTGGGCTGTTACTTTCGGTCTCTCTCTGTCTGTGTATAGGTATATATGTATAATTGAGGGGGACCAACGGATCGTTTTGAAAGACATATATACAACAGAATTTAAATGTAGATATATATGCGTATTTTTGGTTACCATCGTCATGACATGAGTTTTTTTTTTTTTTTTTTTTTCATCTTCCTCGCGGGGGTGATACTTAAAATGTGTCAACTCTCTTATATTTTGTTTGGCACTTTATCCAATTTTCATGCGTCAAAGATTATTCTTATTTATTCATTCATGGTCCTTTAAAATCCGGTGTATAATTGAATTAAATCCCACGAAATTTATTATTTATTTCAATTTATTAACTATATATACATATATGAAGTAAATTATTTCTTAAAATTTTTCAGAATTTTTTATATAAATGTTGCATTACAAAAGGTGGCTTTGTTTCATTTATTTGAAAGTCTTTAAAGATTCTTTTATTATATTCCGTTAGGTGTTTTTTCAATGTACGTTATATTTTTAGTTCAAGTTTTCTTTATCTTAAATTATTTCATAATTGTCTCTCTGAAAAACGGTTAAAAAAAGTAAATTAAGAATTAAAAAAATTAAATAATACTAATTGACTGTAATTAAATTAATTTTTATATTTAAAAAAAAAAATGTTATTTGAACTCTCAGAACTAATACATGTAAAAATTTTAATTGACCTTTGACTGAATTCAATTACTTGTGATTGCCAAGTTAAAGAACCAATATTAAAGATTGTGATTTTAACAAGAGATGATAAGTCTACGCAGTTTATTTTTAAATTCAATCAATGAATTCATTTAAGATAAAGAAAATAATATTTTTATTTGCAACCATTTTTAAATTCAAAAAAAAAAAAATTTGAAAAAATCGATTATTTTTGAGTTTGAGTGTACGTCTCTTTTCGTAGAAATTATTTTTATATATAATTGAATTTAAAAAATGGCACGTGCGTATCCTGTTGGAGTACCGGCTCTTCGAGATCTTTTGCAGTTATAGAGAAGAAACAAGGATTCCAGAAGTTTCAATGAGAAGTCTCATTAGTCGCATCGTCCTGGAGAATCTCGATTTCTTCATATAGTCTTATAAAAGCGTATTAAGAAAAACAAGAATCCTATAGACGTGTTCCACTCACTACTTGGAATTAAATACATATACTGTTGTAATGCTCGTCTCCCTTCCATTATCCCCGGATAATTCTTTACCTCTCTTTTATATTCCATTATATTGCGAGAATGTATAAGAAAATGGAATATATACCCTCTTGTGATAAATCGATTGCTGATTCAAGTATCTGTCATCGCAAATGTTTTTCCTCCACTCACTTGTCGTCGTGCCAAGCAGTCTGGAATATCCAGTATTACATTCTCTTCCAGGTCTCTTCTTTCTCTTGTGTTTCAATAATCAATCCTCTCTTTCATATATATATATATATACCGCACTAACGATGTGTGTTTTCTAATGCTATACACAACATTTACATTCTTGTCTCGCCATTCTCGGTTAGATTCGACAGTACGATTTATGAAAATTGGGTACTTTTGTGTATATCCATAACGAGCTAAGGAAAAAAAAACTCAATTTAAATATTTAAAAAGCCCTATAGGGAAATGGAAAATCTTTTTTGACGTGACAACGTTTTACTCCCTATAGGGAATCAGTCAGAAAAATTTGCGCTTATATCGACGCCGAGTTCTCGAAAACTATAAGTCATATATTTTCAAGATTTTTGTGTTTATAGTCTCAATGCCACACTTATTTTTGTCAAAGGAAATGAAATTTTTTTATAACTTTCTATTCGATCGGTTAAAGATTTAACTACATGTTAGTATTTTTTTTTTTTGTTACAGATTCTATCCTCCATGGCAGACTATTTAAAACTCGGTCTATTTTGACGGTTATTTTTCACATTTTTTGAATGGAAATTTAACTTGAAAGTAGGGATCTCCGAGGGCTATTTAGTTTGAAAGAATCTCCCTGCAGCTGCAAATTCATCATTAAGGTAAAAATTTTATTACAACAAATTTTTGTTCTCAATTCGTAAGGCTTATCGAATTTCAAAATAGTTAATTAATTAATGAAAATCAAAATTTGTATGTAATGAAAAAATGAAATTAGTATTTATAAAGAAACTCAAATAATTATAATTCTCAATGAATTTTATAAATAATTTAATTCAGATGAGTGCTGGTATTTTTATAAAATGAAAATACCTTCTCATTTATGTAAAAAAAATTTGATAGAAAGGTTATTTTTCACCTGAGAAAAATTAATTATAGAAAAAAATGAATTTTTTTTTTGAAGAATATCACTTTCACAGTGTTTTGTTTTTGTTGATCATTAAACTGACAACAAATAAATAATTATGTCTTTGGAGAAAGATTTTATTTTTATGAACTTCTTATAATAAAATTGTGGTATATATCCATTAGCACTATATCCTTGTCAGTAGCGCTTTCCATTGAGTCGCGATTATGCCTTCACGCAGTCTAGACATCTCCGACAACCATAATTATATGAGTCAGTTAGAGAAACCGTTTTTTTTTTTTTTTTTTTTTTTTTTTTTTTTTTTTTTTTTTTTTTTTTTTTTTTTTTTTTTTTTGCCCACTCTCGCCGTACAAGATTTCAGTATGGATCCTTTGTTAATAAATGAGGTCGGCAGCTTGATTTCATTAAGTCGTAATTATATGAAACTGATATAGCACACACAAGAGATGGACCCCATATTCTCTGGTTTCAAATGTACAATAAAAATCAATTTGAGCGGTCAATTTCTCTTTCTCAAGCATCTTCATTGTATTTGTCCTTATAGAAATTATTTATATATCACAGAAAAAACGCTGGGTAAATTTTGTTGCGGGTAATTTTCACCAATGTTAATTCACATAGACGGTGGCGCCCTCAACTAGGATAAAATTTGTTGCAGGTAATTTTTATACCGATTTTGGGGTAAAAATTCTACTTTTTTTTCGTATGATAGATATTGAAATTAGTTGTATATTTATTTCAAAATTTATTTGGTATACAATGAAAAATATAAATTACGAATTAAATGCGCATGTGCAATAGAATCTTTGAATGATTAACATTCTACAATTGTCCAATGATGATGACTGCGTACGACAAGTGGTCAATTTTCCTCTCAGTGAACAATCTTCGTCTTAACGAAATAATATATAGTATTGTCTTCATTTTTTAAAGAAAGTGTTTTCTAAATTAGGATATGAAAAAATAGTCTTGATATTTTAATAAGCATTTCGATGAATTTAATTCACTATACATTTGGGTTATATTTCTGTTCGATTATTAAAATTTCGAAATAAATTTTCTTGATAAAATTCCTATAGAATTATTCTTATTAAGGAATTATTAAAATTAAATTAATATCTAGAAATAATTGTTTGAAATAAAATAAAATAAAATTGTTTGAATATTAAAAATTCGACTTTTCTTTTAATGTAAATCGACTGCTTTTGTTTCTTAAATTCGATCCGAGGCCTATATATCTCCTATTCGGAACTAGATCTGACAGTCCTTTAAAAAAAACCTATATATATATATATATATATGGAGATCGTTATAACGGTGCGACATACATAGAAATGCATATAAATGCTCCAGTACGACAAGAACAAGCAAGTATTCCACACTAATGATCACTTCCTGGTGAGATTTCTCAGTAGTCGATCCTAAATAGAGCTTGCCAAAAACTTCATATTCCAACCATGAACTCTTTTTCTCTTTTATTATATCATGTTTATGCAACTTCTTTTTGTTGTATACTATAATAGTAAATACATTAATCATTTATATATATATATATAAACAATATTAATGAGATTAGTCAGCATGTGAAGAAAATGATGTCTAAAGTTTATTCAATTAATTGTTTATATGCAACTGAAATGTTGTTTGCAATCATAAATCCAATCGCATTTTCGTTAATCAAATAGAAAAGTTCGCTCGCATTCAAAAATGACAACTGATGTCATTTATGATAAATCAGTCTTTATAATATTATAAAGCTGTATATATATATATATAGACTTTCTGTGTGAAATAGCAATTGAAAATGACATTGAGCTTAGTCATGACTTTCACATTAATATGATTTAAAGTCAATTCTCGGTGCACTACTCATATTTTTGCCACTTTTTCTCACTTTCGAAAGTTTTTCTTTTCATTTTCTCCTTACCCCTTACTTATATCTTTCGTTTACCGCATAATTAGCGAAGAAGTTTAACTTCTTTCTCCTATATTTTCTATATGAGGAATTTCTTTTTCTTCCTATATATGTGTGTGTGTTTACTTTCCAACACATATATTTTAAAGATTTGTCATTACCTAATAACACACGGAATGACGATTGCTTTCGTTTTCTAAATAATTATCACTTCTATAAATCAACTAATTAATCACAGTAACTATGTGTCAATTTGGAATAATTACATATATTTTCTTTTACAATAAATTTAAATGTGCAATTGAAAAATTGCTTTATTTTGATATTTATTTACTGAAACAATTTTTTTTTTTTTGTTATAATTAATTCTTTTCTTAGAAAAAAAGTTTTGTTTCGCATTCCAAGGAATTGGAATTTTCCGTTCCGATTCCGATAGAGAAAATTGGACGATAAGATAAAAAAGAAGTGAATTGTTATTGAGGAAATAGGATTTGTTTTTTTGTAAAAAAAAATATTTTGTGCCGCGCTACTAATTGTTGTTGAGGATCCGCGTGGAGTAAACCACCGTTTCTTGGATGGCTTGCTCGCACCGGTTGACACGCAGCAAGGACAGCTCGACATTCCTCCCAACAACCGCGATCGGTAGAAAACCGGTTGCCATAAATTCGCACGAGGCGAGCTAGAACCCTATTTCAACATTCTACTGTATATACGGTACGATATATACCGGTATATTTTCTCTCTGTACACCTATAGGGGAGAGTACCTTTCATCTCCAAGTATACGACGGAACTATATGATCAATTCAAGACATGTTCCTTTAGATTTTCCTCCTTCAATAGCAATAATTTAATCATCAGAATACCGCAAGGTGTATTATTTTTTCATTAAGAAAAATCAACCATCAAGTTTCTTGACCTTTCCACGTGTAATTTCTTAGGCACATATATAGAATTCTATTTTCCATTTATTTTCAATGTCCATATTATAGAGGAGAAAAGCAATTGCGAATATTTGTGAAAAATTAGAGAGACGGGAAATTGTGAATTTTGTTTCATTGTGAATATATTTGATTTTAGAAATTGGAGGCGAGTTTATAAAAAAAAAAAATTGGTAGGGTATTGCGTATAGAAAATATAATTCATTTTCTTCGTTAAGAGTTATGGATGAATCTGCTGAGAAAAAAAAACAGTATACCGGTTTTCATGATATATTTATAGCATCATCGTCATTGCATTATTATTTTGTTTTCTAATACTTTATCGAGGACGTCATTTTTCCACTATATTCATATTTAATTGTTTCTAATGAGGTTATACGTTTTTGGAAAATTTTTTTTTTTCTTATCAGCCATAGGAAATTTTATAATCTATTCACTAAAAAAATCATTTTCAATGAAAAAACTATTCTGAAATTAAAAATAAATCCTCGGTATTTTAGAATATTTTAATTTATAATCCAGTATATAATTTTAAAATAACTAAATTTTTTCTTTAGAATTTAAATAATATATAAAAATAAATTTATTTTTAATTTCAGAATATAATTGTTACTTTGAGAAAAAAATATTTGCAGAAACAATTATTTTGTAAAAAATAAATTAATAACTCATGCACAATATATTATTATCGGTCATAAGTGATTTTGCTTTAGAATATATGTCGCGTAAAATAATTTTAATGAATGTTTGTATCTAGAGAAAATTCAATTAAACGAAAATGCATTAAAAATTGATTTATTGGGAAATAAAAAGCAAAGTGTCATTTGACATTTTAAACTGTCGTAAAATGGAAGCTGGGACAAAAGTAATTTTTTAAAATAATTAAAAAAAATATTTTACGAGAGAGAAAGAAAGGGTCGTTGTTAAATACATTATAAACCATCGGTCAATCTTGGATTTAGCGAGCAAGGTGAACGTAAACGCAGGTGCTTGAAAACACGAGAGTGCCGTGCAGTCTGCCGCTCTCTCATTGCGTGCATGTTTTGCAACCAGTTTTCGTCCTCTAAAGATCAAGAGAGTTAGTCCACGGAAGCGAGGATAATTACGCGTGTCGCTATATATATATGAAAACGCCTCGGATTCGCGAGAGAGCAATATATATATATATATATATATATATAATATAAGATTGCGTTCTCATTTGCGAGAAAATTACCAAGAGAACGCGAAGAGCGGATGCTGTGGACTTGAATTTCTCTCGTTTCTTATATAGCAAAGCGCATCAACGGAAATTTCAAGTTATAATCCTGCAATTTCATTTTAACTTCCTATTTTCCTCCGAAGTGCTAATTATGTCTCGTTAGTCGTTTGTCATTGTCGTTTATAAATGCAATACAGCAAAAAGAGGGTCGTGTAAAACACCATCATTTTCATATACACTATATATATATATATGTGATTTTCCTCCCCAAGAAATTATATATTTAGACATTTATAATTATAACTAAGTATCACGTTCTCTCGGGAAAAAAATCCATTTATTATTAAAGAAAGAAAACATTTTTCTACATCAGATTTTTATCGTATTTTAAATAAATTTTTTTTTAATTCAAATTTTTCATTTATGTTTAATAATGCAAAAAGTGATATTTTGATTTACTTTTTTTGATTTTGAAAAAATATTTTTTGCAAAATATATTATAATATATATATATATATATTGTATATGAAAATTGATATAAATAAAATTGAATGTGCGTTAACCGCAATATCGGATACCTAAACCGAGAAATTAATCGAGCAATGACCGGAAAACAAGATCCGAACGTTGAAAGTCATTGATTTCAGAGAAGAGATGTTTGATCACATTTTTTTAAGAGTGAAAGGTAGATTTAAAAATAATAAAATTGAAAGTTTTGTTTTTCATCAGAAAATTTCCATTAAATTATAATAATACAGTGAAAAAAAAAATTTATTTGATTCAAATATAATTGACTATTATCAAATATTGACTTATTAAATAAATATTTACTTGAACCAAAATATTTTTATTTGCATTAATTATTTGGAGCAAATAAATTGACTGGAATAATAATCATTTATTTGATATAATAGTCGATTATTTGAATCAAATAATTTTTTTTCAGTGTATAATATTAAAATTTCAACAAAATTCTTTTATTTCTATATACAATATATAAAAAAAAAATTTGCAGGAAATGTTTTATTTTCAAAATATTATATTGTTGGAAGGCTCACTGAAACGTGAAAGTCCATTTTGTTTCGGGGGAAAAAAAAGGCAAAATAGGTAGATATATATATATAATTAGAGAGAACAGAATGAAACCAGAAGTAAGATAATTGCCATTCTCGGGAGGGATGACTGTATAGAACAACTTTTTCATTTGTCTCTCGTCGTCTGCCATGAGTTGTATACAAACTATACTTCCGGCAAGAGTCAGAGCAGTTTGCTTGGGTCTTTCTTTTTTTTTTTTTTTTCTTTCTTTCTTTTTGCAGGGTGCACGTGTGCACTCTGTCAAACTGCAATTCGAGAAATGTTGAAGTTGAAACCATTTACGGTGAGGAAAGTTACAGAACCAGTGATGATCCATCAATTATACAAGATCGTTGTGAATCGAGAAAGTGAATTTATTTTTCCTAGACTTGCTTTAAAAAAAAAATTCAATTTTCAAAATTTTTTTATACACAATTTTTTGTATTAAAAACGCAAAAGTTTACATGGAAAAAAAATTTTTTTTTGATTCAAATAAAAATTATTTGATTCAAAGTAAATATTTATTTCATAATAGTCAAGTAACCGATTATTTGAATCAAATAAATTTTTTTTTCAGTGTATTTATATATTTTCAAAATATTGTAAAAATAAAAATTTTAAAATACAGATGAAATTTATTATTTAAACGGAAAAAAATTATAAGAACTAATTCTTTATTAAATCTATTTACCTTGATTATTAATTGTTCGAAATAAGATTGCAAATTGAAGGATCATAGGTCTGAAACTTTTTTTTTTTTTTTATGGGCAAAATATTATTTAACGCGAAGATTTAGATGGCTTAAGAGCTGACACGAATGATTAAGAGTGCTCGAGATTCCACGTTAATCATTTTAATGTGTATATAAGACAAAACAGGCGTGGGACTGATTATATATATAGTGTGTATATGTGTGGGGCATGATTCATTCGATCTGCGCAGTATTATTCTGATGTGAATTTTATTCCATGGGGGACTCTTTCCGAGACAATAAAATAAAATATCAAAATATATATGAGAAATTAAATTTTTCGGCGATTAGAAAAAAAATGTTATAATTTCTTTGGATGTTGGTTGGAGATGCGCGGTAGTCGTGTTTATGGAAAGAATAGAAGTTTTCATGATATGCATAACAATGACCATAAATGTGAAACATGTCATGGAGGGGAAAAGACGCTCGAGATTGAATACAAATATACTTAACAGTGTACTCGTGTGTAGTATACTTCACAAGGCGTACGATTTATGTTCCTCTTCAAGAACGTCAAGAAGGAAATTATGACTCATCCACGAGAAATAATCTACGATTCTAAAAGACCACTGTTTTGCCCTTTTCCAGTTCATGTTATCATTTTATATACCATGATTAATTCACTTCACGCGAAGATTCATTTACTTCTCTGGTGATGTTTTTTTATTTTTTTGAAAAAAGAGTTATATAATCTGTTACTGATTTTTGTAACTCATTTCATTGTTATCTAATTTCATTCTGTTCAATTTTTTTTTTTTTTTTTTGTAAAGCAATGTCCTTGAAAAAAAAGGTATTAGAGAATAGTTTGTCATTTGGGAATCGCCTACGTGAATTACAGCATATTAGAATTTTAGTAAAATCATTACATCATTAACACTCACGCTTTTACTGTGACTTGTACTATGATGATGATGATGATGATGATGGTGTGTATGGTGATGAGTATCCAACTTCATGTTGGCGCAACGATTAAGTGCGTGCAGTCTTCGAAAGAGACTCTGCAAAGAATCTCTCTCCAAAAACGGATGGTCCTTCGCCACACTCGATACATCTATTGGAAATTGGTAGTCTGTAAAAGAAAAAACAAATTTTATTTTTAAATTCTGCAAGAAATTTTCTTATTTTAAATTCAGAAAAAGAATCTCATCTTTATTTTCAAATCATCTTCCTTAAAAAAAAATATTATGTATCAACGTAATCTTAATTTGAACATCAAAGTGAGTCACGAGAGAGAGACGATGAGTTTCTCCGGTAGTAGTCTTTTTAAATTAGGAGAAATTTTCCGGAAGCTGGTATAGATTTAGATTAGAGGATATCGGTTGTATCGAAAAAAAAATAGTTGTTTAAAAATATAGAAACTAGTCGATAAGAAATACACGCGGGTATAGTATGTATGTATATATTTATATTGAGAGAGGAAAAGATTATTTCCATAATGGTTAACGCCTATCGATGATCCAGATCGCGAAATCGGCTCTTGGGGGCTTATCCCATTGGGAATAAATTAAATTTATCGATTAGCGATCGAGCCTGCTTTCTAGACATACTAATTATCGCCGCCTCGCGAAAGGGGCACTCTTGCTCACAGTACCGTTCATCTGACGAATCAATTAGCATTCTCGTGATGCAACGTATCACGTGTGTGTGTGTATACCATATGCGAAAGTAATCAATTTCCAAGATCGAACTTTATTCCATCTATATGGAAAAAATTTTTTTGCAAGGAGCTATATTCTAAAATTATAGGGTTCGTGAAAAATATGAGATAATAGTATTTGATAAATATGTGAAAGCAACATCAAATATCAAAAAGTGTAACGATGATTTAATTTTTGGTAAATAATATTTTTGACTATCCATTAAAATAATAATTATAAACAATAATAATTAATTAATTAAATTTTTGATATTAGTAATCAACTAGTTAATTAAATTATTAATTAATGTTGAAATTGGTTTCTCTAATACATAAATTTCTTTATACATATATATATTGAATATATTTGTTAGCATATATCAACAAGTTGCACTGCGAAATAGAATTTGTTTGACCAATCCTTATATTGTTCATTTCGCTCTTGATGAATATTCACTGATCCATAAAAGTTGTTTCTGGATCAATGACTTTGGTATCATATACAATATAAACCATATATATAAACGTGGTTGGTCGAATTTCGTGCATCCGATATGAACACATTCCACTTTGTTTTCCTTACACTACAATGCATAATTTGAGTTCAAGGGGGTCAATTAATTACAATTCATATATAGAGTTCTCAATGTTGTGTGTATTTTAATTATTAGAACTGTTTTATGTTTCCTGCAAAAGTGGACACATAAATTTGCAAATCACGATTATGTACTTTGATATTCGTATATGCTCTTCATTTAGTATTTGTGATATATATTATAAATATACGTTTTGAGGTCTTTCCCGTTTTCCTTGCTTTTTGATTGTAATTTTTCAATTTTTTCCTTGATGTGTTTTGTTAAATTTTTTTTACTAATTTGTTTTAGAACAATTAATAATTATTATTAATTATTATAGTTACTAATTATTATTATTATATAAAATCTATTTATTATTATCTGAATTCTACGTCATTCACAAAAACAGGAAATTAGTCATCAAGATTAAATTTCACTTTGGAAATTCCTATTCTATACCTTCTTTAAATTTTAATATCGTAAAAGAATCAATTGATTCATCAACTAAAAATGTCGCAATAAAATTAGTAAAATTTCCACTGATTATAAACAAATAATAAATATTTTTAATTAAAATAATTTAAAGTTTCTTTATTAATTGAATAATGAATTTTGGTAAGTGATGTACTAATTTAAATTAGTAAGAATTTTCACTAATTTTTAGTCACTTTTTACTAAAACTTTAGTAAAAAAAATTTTAAATTACTAAATCCAATAGTAACATTTTACTAAAAATTACTAAAAATTCTTACTAATTTGAATTAGTATAGAAAATTATAAGGTATTAAAATAAGCTGCAACGCTTATTTTAATGCCTTTTAATTTTCTGTGTAGCTCACTTTTTACTAATTCAAATTTAGAGAGAGTAATTGAAAGTATATCACTGAAAAAAAATTATTTGATTCAAATAATCGATTACTTGTTTATTCAAATAAATATTTACTGGAACCAAAGAATTTTTAAAACCAAATTATTGAATTAAATAAACTAATTGAACCAATAATTTCTATATTTGAAATAAATATCATTTAATTGTCTCACATAATAAAATTATTTAAAATATTTTAGTCAAGTAATCGATTATTTGAGTTAAATATACATTTTTTTCAATGTGGGAATTAAATTTTTTTTTACTGAAATACATATATTAATTTTTACTATATTCTCAGGTAAATTTTGACTGTAGGGGATACAATAAGAGACTATTAATAGTAGTTTTTCATATCTAAAATCAAGTATTATTTGAAATGATCACTGTAATGATCACATAAAATGTCAGCAGAGATTAATGATTTTTCGAGATGTGTTACGTAATAAAATGGATTAAACTTGAAAAGGGCGTTTATAATATAGAGGACAATATAAGTAGTCATTCCTTTTTAGTATGAAGTAAACATTCACACATATACATGTATATATGCATTTTTTTTGTACATGTATATGAAAACTCTAAACAGTCTTAGAAAATTTGAAGGACAAACTCGATACTTCTTCCGTTTGAAAAAAATATAATCACACCTACGTAGGCGATCATGGGTGTGACATAAGAATGAACGGTGACTTAATTCATAGATATGCGTCGTAGTAGGTATTCTAATTGCTATGATTGATTGTATTATATGGGATATAATAGAAATATATATATATATATATATATATATATATATATATATATATATAAGAACGTTTATAATAACTATATAGGCATTTATGGTGTAATAGGAAAATGATACAATATAGCAAAAGAAATAAATGCACACCTCCTTCTTCTCTGTGTGGCCTTTTTTTTAAATATAGTACATGAGCGAAAAACGACGTGACTTAACAAACTTTGAATCTATATAGGATGTTTCGTGGTAAACAATCGTTTTATCTCGACAAAAATGGTCTTACACAGCGTTCTCATACACGATAAGATCATGTGCCGTTTGTTAAAGATCAAGGCAAAATTCTACTTTGTTCATTCGATATATGTTGAAAATATCTCTCTTTCTCTCTGTAATTTGAATTGGTGGCTGCTTGAATATATTAGTGTAACTTTAGAAATAAGGTGTGCGACGGATTTACTCATGTAGAATAATTACTGTCATTAGGATTTATCTGGGAACTTTTTGAAGCTTCTAGTTTCTCGCTAATGTTTCTTCTATTCATTCACGTGTATATTAGAGAGAAAGTGTATAAGATTTAAGATAATTAGAATTTTAAGGGTTTGAATGTTAATTTAATTATATATACCAATTAAGAAATTCTGTTTGCGCAAAATGCAAGAATAATTTACTTAAAATATCAACTATATAGAATATAAATCTTTAGTCGAGGGAACATTGAGCAAGAAATAAGTAGAATAATAATGAATATGCAAAATAAAAGTAGATTATAAATAAAAACATTGTGGATGTATATATATAAAATGTTTATCATTAAAAAAAAAAAAAAAAAAAAAAATGAGTATTGTAACTCAGGGAAGAGTATTTTAATCCAAACTGGAATCAAGTTAGGCTCACTTCAAGACTCAATTGAGCCAATCAGTTGACAAGAATCGGTCTTAAGGCGAGCTTAACTCTTAAGCTTGAAGTGAAATACCGGACCTGGTGAAGCAAAGAGTGAAGCGTAGAATATGCTTGACAAGAAAAATCATTCAAGTCGTTAACTTTTATGTGCTCACGTAACGATCTTGCAAAACCCAGAAGAAAAGAGCAATTTAATGACATTTTTTTGTGGCTGCAATATAATGCAAGATATTTATATTTAGTAATAAAAACTATATCCCTTCTCTCAGGCTTCTTCTTCTTCTTTTTTTTTTTTTTTTTACTACTTTAATAACAATTTTATGATTTTCTAACATCTTTCCTTATTATCTATCGTTATATTAAAAATATATTTTATCAATTTTCAGAATTGATTATTAAAAATTTTTCAAAAAGAATTAAAAAACTGTTTTTCGTGCTACAGATTAAAAACATAATATTGCTTTTAAGATAGGATATATACATCCACAATGTATTACTACTAAGAAAAGTAATTCTATTTTTTTTTTATTTTCTTATGAACAACTATATATAGGAGAAGATATGATACTATTATCGACCTTATCAACAGGTAAACCTGTTTCTTGACGTCACAGGAAACCTCAAGAGGCAAAGAGTACTCAATATTTCAATGGCATTGAAGATTGAGTCTGTAATGTTAATAATTGAAGTAGTTATTAAAAAAATAAAGAAGCTATATACATATATTTTGTTGAAGAGGTTTGTTATATGAAAATCAAGGAACTATTTTGCATATTATTATTATTCTACGAATTTTAAATGTATTTTTTTTTTAATTATTAAAGAAAACATATAATTATTTTTTTCGTTACCGTTACTCAAAATAAAAACCATTAAAATTAGTTACCGTTACTAAAAAAAAAAAAAATAATAATTTTTCATTAATGCGTTACTTCCATTTTGAATTATATATATTTTATGATCTCGAGTGTAGAAAAAAAAGGATACATCCTTTTTAGGATTCGAATGTTATCATTTTCATTAGTCATTGAGGAACTGGGATGGGAGTACCAGATGATGACTAACTGTTATCTAACTGTAATTTCATCCTTTTCTTTCTTACACTATTTCTCAATGTCTTTAATCTTACTGTCTCCATATTTATTATTTTTTTACTTAAGGCCAAATTAATTTATTTGGCATTTATCGTTTTCACTATACATATAACCTTCTCTAAAAATCAATGATTCCCAATGTTATTAAAGTGAAATTCAATAGGGTTTAATTAAATCAATAATTATACAATCACTGACATGTCATTTGGTTATCAATAGTATTAGATATCATATTAATATTACGCTATCAAATT